TAGTACATATAAACTCAGTAATTCAGGAATCACTTCCCAGTAGCAATAGGAGTGCATATTTTTCCAATCCTATCGATAAAATGGATATCAGAGATTTGAGAAGTAAATACAGATGACACAGAGATGAGCTACTTTCCTGCAGTGTCTCAACCAGTTATAAAAAAATCTGAGCCTAACATTACATCTCCGACATGTCTTCATAACAGTTAAATTACCTTACACGTTAGTTTACTTACTCTGAGTGCCTGCTGTTCCAGTTTCTTTCTCTCTATATTTTCTTGATCTTCTTCCATAAGTTTCTCAATATATCTGAAATATTCATTTATCATACACATGTGCATTACATCATATATATATGTAAACATATATGAGAATGCACTCACAAAACATTACCCAAAACCACAGGCCAATTTACTGAATTTGATAAAGCAACCAGTATTTGGCAGGGGATTTGGTCTATATTATGATTTCTGCCTTTAGTTCATTTTATTAAATTCACATGTCAACACAGGGAACATTCACAATTGTTTAATACTAGTGATGGTGCGGTATTTATGGTGACAGGTTTGGTTCTCTTGCTTGGTGCAGTTTAGGAACATCATGGGTTAATGCAGGAGCCAACTTATGACCAGTCTGAAGTTTGTGGAAGATTGGGGGAGGGGGGGGGGGGGGGGCAACTGGATATGTAATAAACAGGATGGGACATTCTTAGGGCTCATGGTAGGAGAGGACAGAAAGCTAGATACAGATCTGAATCAGTAAGAGTATGCGAGCAGGACATACAAGGGCCCACTCACCTGGGAAAACTGTACCATCAACTTTGGCACACAGTCATTTAAAAATCTAACTATAACACAGGAAGGAAACCCAGGATGGACACCAGAAAATAACCAGGGGACTGAAAAACTGAATGAGTGACACAAGACACCAAGACTAATGAATTAACAAATGGACAGTCAGGACCCAGTCATCCGACAACACAGGGGCACACATAATAGGGAAATAACTCTTTTTATCCTAGTTGATTTCCCAGTAAATGGAATGATGTCTCCATCAAGAGCCAGATTGACTTTATACTCACCAGAGTTCAAGGAAGAAGGAGAATTCTTGATTCAAGAGCAATCCCTAATGTTCTATGTGACACTGACCATAAAATAGTTGTGTTAACAGCAAAACATCTTACATTAAAGAAACACAGAAAGAAATTAAACAAAAACAAGGATCTCATCAAGATAGCAAATCTAAAAAAGGAAGGATTAAAAGAACAGTTACAACAGAAAGTAGAGACAGCATTCAAACAACTTCCACATGTAGTTGGCAATATTGAGGAAGAATGGAGTAAATATAAAAACACTATGCTTAGTATTGCAGAAGAATTATGTGGAAAACGGAAGAGTGGAAACAGACGGGGAAATAACAAATATTCACCTTGGTGGTGCAAAGAAGTAAAAGAAGCAATTAAAAAGAAAAAAGACTTATATAAACTATAGACTGCAAAGGAGAGAAACCAACAGGAGTGTCAAGAAAGCAAAACAAGCATCCTGGGAACATTTCGGTGAGTCACTAGCAGAAAACGAGAAAACAGCCAGCAGAAAATTTTTCAAAGTAGTTAAAAATATGCGGAAAAGAGATGAGAGCTATAACCCCACTGAAATAATAAATGATAAGACAGGAAGGCCATTGATAGATCCACCTGAGACAGCAGAAAGATGGAGGGAATACTTCAATGAACTCTTTAATCCTCTAGGAGATCATCAGGAAAGAACAACTGAAGAGCACAGAGCAACAGTGTTAGAACCACACATACTAATGGATGAAACAGAAAAAGTCATTAAACAGTCTCCCAAATATAAAGCACTAGGAGCTGATAGATTACAAACAGAAATAATTCAAGCAGCAGGTGAAAGCAGCATCAGATGGCTTCACAGAATATTCAATGCAGCATGGGTACAACAAACGGCCCCTATTGATTGGCAACATGCAATAGTTATACCATTGTGGAAGAACAAAGGAAGCAAACGAGAATGCGGCCATGTTGGCAAAATGTATGCCAAGATAATAGAAACAAAACTGAGACCAGTGATAAAACCACAGCTGGCAGAAGAACAGATGGGATTTAGGAGAAATAGAAGCTGCACAGATGCAATCTTCACACTTAAACAGTTAATAGAAAAGAACATTGAATACAATAAGAACTTATTTGTGGCATTCGTAGACCAGGAGAAGGTATTTGACAGTCGACAGACAATTATTATGGAAAATAATGGCAAGATATGGAGTAAGCGAACACCTCATCGAAGTGTGCAAAAGTTTATACAGGGATTGTAGAAGTGTAGTTAGAATAAATAAGGGAACATCTCATCCTTTCACAGTGACATCTGGAGTAAGACAGGGGTGTGTCTTATCACCACTGCTGTTTATCACCTACATAGACAGTATATGCAAGAATGCCAAGCCCATGAATGAAGATCTTAGTCTTCTTCTTCTTCGCGTTCACCAGCTGTACACTCTGGCGGAAAGTTCTGGTTGATCGTCCACTACTGAACTGCAGTCCCGCTCCAGAACCTGAGTGTTGCGTGTGCATCAGTTTTACAGATCTCATTCTCTTGAATACAGACTGTTGGTTCCTTGCCTCTCCGGCAGATGCACTCCGACTTCAAAGGAAGCTCCCCAATTAGTCGACTCTTACGACATGCTTTTGGGGAGGCAGTGGGTCTATTCTTGTTTTCCCCACAATGGGGCCCCGGAACCCACACGGGGGAGCAAGATCTTAGTAAGATCAACGAATTACTCTTTGCAGATGACCAGGCCTTGATAGCAGTTACAGCCATGAAATTGCAACAACATCTAACATCCATGAATGAAGAAAGTGAAACAAATAATATGAGAATCAACACTGAAAAGACAGAAGTAATGTCAATAGGAAAAAAGAAGACAGATCTAAACATAGCAATAGAATACAAAGGCATTAAACAGGCATCTGAGTTTAAATATCTGGGAACTACATTTACCGAAAATGGGAAATTGGATAAAGAAATTGACATTAGATGCAGTAAAGCAAACCAAGTATTGGGACAGCTAGCCCCCCTCTTACAGCATAAGACAATCCCAATCAGCACAAAGAGACATCTTATTCAAAGCATATTTATTCCAACTCTGTGCTACCAGTGCCAGACATGGTCACTCACAACAAACCATAAAAGAAAATTAGTAACCACGGAAATGAGATGTCTGAGAAAGACTGTAGGAGTGACCATAAGAGATAAGATCAGGAATGAGATCATAAGAGAACAAGTCGGCACAGAACCAATTCTGGATTACATACAAAGACAGCAAGTGAAATGGTTTGCCCACTAAGAGAGAATGCCTTGTGACACCATACCATACAAAGCATACATGGAAAGAGAAGAAGGACGTAGAGCACGGGGTAGACCAAGAACAAGATGAGAAGGATAACATCAGAGAAACTCTACAACAGCACGATGTGCCTATGGTCGAGGCAGCCAGAAGAGCTAGAAACAGAACCTTATATCTCCCTCGACACCCACAGTGGTAAAAGAGGAAGTGAAGAAGAAGAAGAAGAAGAAGAAGAAGAAGATTCCCCAGTGAGTCAGTTGTGAAACTGATGAAATAATGGGTAAACTATTACATCCACAAAGCCCAAACACACAGTGCCCTTGTGGGGGACAGTCATGTTGTTGAGTGCCTTAGCATGCCTAGGCTATACATAAAATGTACAAGCATAATAATACATTTCCCGGCACGGTAACTATAGCTTTCGATTTTTATGTTGTCTAGTGTGTTCTTCTATCTTTCTACTTCTTTCTATGAGTGCCGTTCACAATACTTTCTGTTACTTGATTAATTCATAATATTTAACGGCCTCAAATGGTTCCCCCGTCTGTTTATTTATGCATTAACTAGTGCATTATGATCATTTCCTTCCACTTCTCCAGTCAAGTGTCATGCAGACGAACAACTGGTTGACCATTTCTTTTACGGGTGGCATTGGTTATTGTCATCTGATGTGAATTCACAATGACTTTAATGTCATCAGTCCAGTCCAGCTTCTTGAGGAACAGCTGGCTGAATGGTTACAATTAAATGGGTTCAAATCCTCGGTAAGGTTTCAGATTTCCTTTTGTTGGGGGCAACAGTAAAATCTTAACTTGGACAGTAAATGGCGACAGTGCTAGTCATGCCACCTTAAATCTTCAGGCTCAAAGAGACCCCCCCCCCCCCTTCCCCGCCAACCAATCCTGCCTGCATTGCTAGAGTGGGGATAACAGGCAGTAATGGCAGCTCTTTTTTTCCCACCCATCTTCTATTTGGATGCATTTTTGTTCTTGTATCAGCTCTTCCTTGACCTAGCACATGTGGAGGTGACTGGTGTTGATGCATTCAAATAATTGAAAGTTGAAGATTATATACAAATCAACATCACAGAACTCTGGACACTCCCATAAGTGCTCCATCCCCATCTTCAGCAGCAAATGAAGAGTTCCAGTTCTGATGGCACCAGAAACTGTCTGACTGTACATCCATCTTGCCTTTCCTTTTAGTGTTAAGCTGTTGACCAAATACCCTGCTAACTCCTCGCAGTGCCATTCTCCTCAGACTGTAATAATCTATTTTGTGCCTCCGCACTGTTCACTTGCTCCCAAAGGCCCCTCACCACATCCAGCCTGTCTTACATCAATCCACCACCAAGTGGTGCAGAACCGGCCTGTCTATCTGCCTGCTCATTTCCCAGCACACTGGCATGACCTGGAGAAATATCCAAAAGTCACTAATGACCCAGGACCTCTGAAGTAATGGCTGCATTCCAACAAGATGTCCAAACAATCTTCTGCTACTCAGTGTATGTGACAACTGGTCTAAGAGTATTGTTTCTCATTCTGTCACAGGCTAAACTCTCAACTTTTCCTAAGGCATCTCATCTCAAAAGTTTTGATTTTTACATATGTGATCCAAGCATAAATATGATGTACACACTCTACCTCTGCATCTGCAAATTTTCCTGGTCCTTCCGTTCCAGCTCAAATAACTTCTCCTTTTCAACCTCGTCAATCTGCTCCAGGAGCTTGGCAGCACCAATGAGCTGTTCCTCTTTTCTCCTCTTCTCAATCTCTTCATACAGTTTAAGGGCATTCTGGCGATCAACCTGTATTAGAAATTAGCATCAAAGTCACAGTCAAACTTCAAGCAGAGAACAACAACAAAAGGACCTTAAATAAACAGATGATACATTCCCTATCATCATCATCTGCAATGCTGATAAATGTGGGCAGTCAAGCTTAGCTATTTCATTTGATCACCAGAGTCTCAAATCATGTCTTTGTTCTTGTCCTGCTTAAGCCATATGATCAAGCCATCCATTATTTATCTCTTTGTCTTGTCCTTGTTTTTTTTTTTTTGTTGCAAATTAAGTTTGTCAGCTGTTATTAAGTGTCCAGCTTTTGTCTTCTCAAATTATGTTTAAAAGAAAAAATCTTCATTTTCTACAAATGATGTCCCTAATCAGTCTATGTTTGTTTTGCTCAGAAATCACATTTCCACTGCTATTTGAGTTTTTTTTTTTTTTTTACTTTTTGTTGTATGTAGTGAAACATTTCACTAAATCATCTTTACAACAGTACTGACGTCAATTAGTACTTCTACTGGCCATTTCAAACAACAGTGCCATAAATGTACTGTGCCTCCTTTCTCCTCTTCAAATCACATCATAAAATATTACAAGATATAGAGGCACACACTTTGACACGTCTTTCCATTAAAAAAAAAACTACATCCAAGTTTTCTTTCTCTAATATCAAGATCTATTATTTTAACTATTGCTGTTCCTATTTTTTGTTCCTCTTTTTATTCTTAAGAGAGAATAAGGGTATCTCAGATCACTTTAAATATTCCGAAAGGTATACAGTGAAATTTGCCGAGCAGTAGATTGTGGAATCTTTTGTCTGTATCTTCTTCTTTTCAACTTTACAAAGGAGAATCATTGCTTTGATAAATGTTTATATCACTTGGTATGTCACATACAAGCATACACACACATGCCAATCTTAAGCAGTGCAGAACTAGAAAGCATTATGTACAAAAGCAGCAATAGTAACTACAAACACAAATTATCAACACACAGAAGAATAGAATTCTCACCTCCATCATAATATCCAGTCGTTTCTCTTCTTCGGTCATCTCCTTCTTGATTTGCTCCTTCTCCAAAAGCTGTGCATCACGAATAGCATGGCATTTGGCATTTAGAATTGCCTGTTTGACATAAATTAGTCTTCAATGTAGCAAACATTCATGAATGTAGTTACTACAAAAACATCAGATTATCATCACTGCATGCATTACAATAGTTGCAGATTCTCTTCAGAATTTCTACAGATGTGTGACAAGTGACAAGTGACAAGTGATAAGTGATCACTTCAATCTGGTGCAGGCTCCCTGCATAGTGTTCATGTCTGGAGACACCTCTTTTGACTTGAAGTTCTTGTAGTCTTATGAATGTTGCTGACTCACTGACGTCTCCTGAATTGTTCTGCCCCCTTTACAGCTTTGAGAATATCGGCACCCATCCATTCCTTTTCCTGAATCTACAGTGGCCCTGTCAGCAAGCCAGTCCACTCGCTCATTCCGTCTTACCCAAGAGTGTTGCGGCAAAAAAATGAAACTGATTCCAATCAGACAAGATTTCCACAGCGACTCTAAAAAAAATTTTCTAATCTATCCTATCTCTATCTTCTTAAGCATGCTCGTAGAATCAGAAAGTAGGCATAAGAAAACTGCTGTGTCTCTCGCCACATCATTGCTTTTGTTACTACCATCCTCTCCATAGTCGTCTACATGTAGTTGAGGCAAAAGTACTGCAATCTTCTTTTAGAGTTTTAACTGGAACCAGAACAGTGAAAGCACATGAACAAATATGTTCAACAGGCAGTGTCATGGAATGATAATGATGACGATGACAAGAGCATATAGCATTCAGACAACTTTAATAGCTGGCCTCATCTGGACAGTTAAATTGGTGCTTTATTAATATCCTACCCCAGATGACGTCACAGGACAGTTCAACATTTTAGAGGGTGATAAGAATGGGTTTCCCAGCTTTCTGATGTTTTTAACGACCCCAAAACATCTAGAACTGGCCTTAACCCTAACTAACCTACATCCAACAAGAGAGTGCAGCCTAGGTCCCATGACTGCATGCAGCCTAGGTCCCACGACTGCATGCAGCCCATCTACCAACCCCTGAAATATTAGACTGTTCCGTAACCTGTGAATTTCCCATTTGGGGTAGGATATTAATAAAGCACTGTTAAATTTTTATTCGGGGTGGGGGGGGGGGGGGGGGGGGGGGGGGGGGGGGAGAGAGACAACTAGGTTATAGAGAAAGAATATTTAATACGGCTGGTCAGTTAAGTGCATCAGGTATGGAGCAAGCAATGCAGTAATTGTTTCTTTATCTGTTGTCCCAGTCGGCATCCTAGCAGATCAGTCCAACCCATTCATTCTTCCTCCTCCCATGCAGCAGCCATCTCTGTGTCTCCAAGCTCAACGTACAGAGTAGAAGTTGACTGGCAAATCTTCTGTCCTTACCCCATACCACTGGGTGGTGAAATGATACATGACAAATCACATGTGGTCAAGGTCCTTTGGGAACAAGCAACAGAATCAATAGAGAAACAAAATTATTAGGGCCTGGAGAGAATGAGGCACCTGTGTGTAACCAGAAGGTCTGGCCGGCTCACTAGACTCAGAGGAGAGGCAAGACGGACATATGTCCAGATTGTGACCGGTACCATCAGTTTTGATGTGAATTCTTGACTTAACTCAACTCAACTTTGATCCACAAACTAGTTTCTGCCTGCTTGTCCTCGTGCAATACCCATTTCCATCAGGCGGTTCAGAGTGTCATTGTCTCTGACACTTTATCTTAATGCAGTGCTGCATCAGACACATACAAATAAATCAACATTTGACAGGCGGTGTGATGGATTAGATTTAGTGTTTTGAGAACTAGAACTGATAATTAGTAACCCTAAAGGAGATACACTCTCTCTCTTTCTCTCTTATTGTACCCCACCAGGACATCACACAAGTGATAAACACCCGGTGACACAAAGTGCCACCATGCAGATGAGGATCACCTGAGGAGAGGTCCCAGAAACCCCTTTATGGCCCGGCTATATTCAGAGCCTTAGGCAGAAGCCAGGGTGGAGCTTCAAACAACAAAAAATTGCATCCCATATGGGGACGACTGAAACATAACCCCACAAGAGAGGCAAATACTGATGATTTAAACCACTGAAACAATCACCAGAATTGAAGTCATGATTCTTGAACAACATTAGAGATGCATTGGGCCTGAAAAGCATGAAAATGGAGAGCTAGCAACAAGGGGTTGTCTTTCCATGGACAGAGCTGAGAGTAATGTTCTGAACATTACATGCTAGGTAATAATTTTGACGTCAAGGTAACATTATTTTTAAAAAAAACTGTAAACAGACGATTACCTCATTCAGCTTCTTGATCTCTTCTTCCTGCTCCTGCCTGAGCTCATTGGCTTTGGCAAGTAGGTGTTCTGCTCTTTCCTTGGCTTCTTCCTCCAAGTCGTTGAGTTTAGCATTTTTGTGCCGAGTGATGTCCAGCTGCTTCAGGCGATTCTTACGTTCCTGGGCATCATCCTGAATTTAGAGTAACACAACAACAACTATAAATTAGTTCTTTTAGCCCCAGAATTGGAAATCGATATCACAGCACTATGGGCATTCCTATAAGTGCTTCATTCTCATCTTCAGCAGCAAGTGAAGAGATTCAATTCCAATGACATGAGTAACTAGCTGATTGTATATCCATCTCATCTTTCAATATTCTGTAGTAGTTACCTAAAGAGAAAATACATATTTAAAAAACTTGCTACACTACTTTAACATGGTGGCCAGAAGGAAAGCCAGACTTCTTAAGTATGTTGTGACAAGTAAAAGAACACATTTAGTAATGGTTGGAATTTACAGGGAGGACTCCATCACACATTGCATTTTGCTTGGGGTTGAAAGATTTAATTCTGTTGATGTTATAAACATGTGAATGCCTGTCTACTGAGGGGATAAATATTTCAACATATCATCATCATCCTTATCAAGTACTTTGCCAAATGACATGGATAATCATGTTTCTCTTTATCTTGCAACCACCAATGACAACTCTAGTGGGTTTGTGTGCTGAACTGAGATTCTTTGAAGAAGACTCAAGCACACTCGAAGACATCAATGTGCGGGGAAAAAAATAAAGGGCTATCCTTATTGAGGCCAAAAATATACCCTAAAAGGGCCTCAGTCACATGTAAATTGTGGACTTCCGGCAACTTAAATTGTGGACTTCCCGTGACTTCCGCCACTACCGAGAGTATCTTCCACGCCACTATGTGAGGTGCGGAGCGGGGCTAAACTAGATGGCTGGGACTCACGAGCAGCAGCTACCGCATCTCCTGAAGCTTCCTTTATTTTATTTGCTCTTGAGTCCCAGCCATCTAGTTTAGCCCCACTCCACATCGCGTGTAGTGGCGTGGGAGATACTGTGGCTGTGGCGGTAGGCGCTGGAAGTCCTCAATTTACATGTGACTGAGGCCCTGTAAGGGTATATTTTCGGCCTCGATAATTTGGGACCGTTATTTCAGAGGATAGCCAAATAATCTTTTACAAACCTTACCCCCTTTCTCTCCATCCTCTCTCATTCTATCTGCCTCTTTCTCTCTCTCTTTCTCTCTCTCTCTCTATCTCTATCTCTCTCTCTATCTCTCTCTCTCTCTCTATCTCTATCTCTCTCTCTATCTCTCTCTCTCTATCTCTCTCTCTATCTCTCTCTCTCTCTCTGTGTATTTTTTTATATATTATACCTCTTCCCCATCTGTACTATTTAATTATCTGCCCAAACAAACAATACTACTTTTGTATCTTTGCCTAGTAAAATAAACTTTACTGATGTTGTACCATAGCCTTGTCTCTTTCTTGTCTCTGTTTCTCCGCCTCTGCTTCCCTCTCTTCCTTAGACAAGACCCTGGATGCTTGAAGGATACGGAAAAACTGTTCTCTGGGAATGATAATGGAATCACCAGATGGGTCCTCAGAGGGAACGCTGTAAAGAAGACAATGCAATATAACTGAAACAGCTTGCTGGTCCATTAGATTTAACAATTCACAAATAATCTTTAAAGGATGGCAGGTCAGTATTGTCATCAAGAAGCAGAAGCTAAAAGAATGTGGATTTAAGCAGTCACTAATAGCCTAAGACTTCATAAGATCAACAGCATATCAAACACCCGAGCACCCCCGGCTCAACTACCTATAATTTGTTTACCCTATCATCTCAAGAAGACTAAAACTGGTAAATTCGTATTGTGACATAATTCCGTAAATGTTCTTATTAATTGCCATGTCTGCAGTGACCCGTTCTAGAAAAGTGTGGTTAAATTCTATTGGTTCTATGCCCCTGGGTGGTGTTTAACAGGCCAGGATATGAAAACGGTACCTTAAGACAACAATTGAAAAAAAAAAAACATTTTTGGTGGTTTCCTTATAACCGCAATAGCTTTCTAAAGCCAAAGTAATGTCAAATGTTCCAATAAGCCTTGGTAATAAAGGTCATGCGGCGTCCGTGGCTAAGGCGTTGCGAGTCCGACTCGTGAGCCAGCATACCGTGGATTTTTGTCGTGGTATGGGACGTCGCAGGTCGACCCAGCCTAAAATGGGTACCAGGATGGGCTGTCCTGGGAAAGTAAAGACAGCCGGCGTAATGCTGACCACATTACCCACCGAGTACTGATGGTCTGTAAAAATATGGGACGCTCTGCCCATATGCCCGATGCGCCGAAAGGCGTGAAAAGGGATCTTTACTTTACTTTTTACTTTTTAATAAAGGTCACAGGGTCATGGCATAAGTCCCCCCTATACCTAATGTTATTTTAGGCCCTGGGAATGCATTCAATTTAATGCCTCACTCTGTTTGTTGATTACCCCTTTATAAATATATATATATTTATAATTTATTTCAAAATTTATTAGTGACCTGTGTAATGTGGGGCTTTTTGTTAATTGGATTTTTTAAAACCTAGAATATTTCTTCATTCGCGGGGTGAAAGGATTAACCTGCAATACTTGATGGCAAAAAAGCTTATATTGACTAAAGAAGGTGAGTATTTAGGACTTTACATTATCAGTACATCAGGTAACATTTCTAGAATGCGTGTCACCAAGGTGAAAGAAGCTGCGTCAATATTCTAGACTACTTTTGGCCTTCTCTGCACCGTATCATCATTCTTCTATTAGAAGCCTCCCCACTTCCTCACCCCTCAATCTTGGTTGGCTGTGCATTTGATGTTTCTTTTTTTTTTTTCCTTTTTTTTTTTTTTTTTGACTTTTCCATGGTTGATTGGTTTTTGTGGTTACTGTTTTTTACAGGCTGAAGTAGCTAACTCCAAGCCCAACACTATCCTTTGCCTCTTACAATTATGCCTGGCAGGGGGGATGCAGTTTTACTTTTCTTTGCTCTCCATGATAGGCCCCAATAACACACAGACGATGATACATACTATCCACACTTTATCCTAGATTTTATCTTTCTATAAACTGGCTCATGTCAATGACTGTAATGACAATAAAAATGATGATGATGACACTGATGATGACAACGATGATGAACCAACAGTAACTGCAGCAGCTCATTCTTTCATACTGTCACAAAAACGGTAATACTAAAAACAATAAAACAACACTCACATTAATTTTCTGATGAGATCCTTGGTTATAACTGTCACAAGCTCCTTCTGTTTCTTGCCCTGGCCATTCCTACGATTTGCATTTCTCTCATGTGCCAGGTGCTCGATAGATATACCTTGATTATATGATGGTATTTCCTAGGGAAAAATAATAGACGATTCTGAGGATGGAGATGGAGCACTTATGGGAATGTCCCATGTCCTATGATGTTGGATCTTGAACGTCACATAACTACTGCATGTAAAAGATACTTAAGAATCAACGAGTTAAGTGATACTTGTCTGGGACTTAAAGAGGTAAGCCACAGACTATATATAATTCTACATTTTACACCTCAAAGGCATTATCTGCTTCTCAACCTGTAACCCATAAATGATATAGTGAACAATCTAGCAAGGCTAGCACGTTTCATTTCCACATGTGTCTGTAGTAAGAGGTAAAAAGACTGGGTGGGGTTTTATTGCTAAGATGAATGGACACTGCTAGAAAACAGAGAGCCTTGCGTACAACGTTAACACGTCCAGTATGAGAACTGAGGCCAAGACAGTAACGGCAGTTTTCTGATGGCTTGAGAACACCACAGCCTGACAGGTTGTGATTGTAACAGACTCAAAAATCATGCTTCGGAAAATTGAAACTCATGTCCTGTGCACAGAGTGGCTTGAGTGACCCAGACTAAGAGCATATCATGGATTTTCTGTCCAGGATAGTCAGGTGTGTAAGGTAACGAGCAGGCTGATAGATCGACTGATGCTGCTACTCTGGGTGATGAGCTACTATATGATAGAGCAGATGTGGTGAGGGCTCTATGGGATCAAATGGACGCTGCAAAAGGAACAGATAAAGAATCCATACACTGAAAGACTAACTCAAAAACGGGTGAGTAGAGGTTCTGGACTATATTCAACATTGAAGGGGAAGTTAGTTTGTTAGTAAGTAAAGTAAAGGACCCTTTCCACGCCTTTAGGCGTATAGGGCATATAGGGCTAGACCTATATTTTTATAGACCAACGGCACAAGATGGTTGATGTGGTCAGCATCATTCCGGCCGCCTCTACTTCCCGGGATTGCACCCGGTACCCACTCAAGGCTGGGTCGACCTGGGAGCCAAGGTCATTTTTTAAGAGAAGTCCGTCTCCGCCAGGGAGCGAACCCACGACCTTCCGATCCACGGCGAGTGTTAGTAAGTCGACAGATTATCCTCATTGCAGTCGAACAACTCAGTCCACAAGTGCTCGGATCCCCTCCTCAGTAAATCCTGCAGTGTGAAGGGGCTAACGACACCAGTTCTGTGTTGGTTTATTATTCTTCTATGACTTCCTGCGTAGTTTTCTTGTTTGGTGACACCCCGTTTAACATGTTGTTCTTGCAGTCTGACCATGGTTGCAGATTTCCATTGAAGGGGAAACAGAGCCGGACTTTTAAGCAGGTAGCGAATGGTACTTTAGCATGTTAACTTTTCACTGGTTACTGAAGAAGGGGACAGAGCACTTGTGGGAATGTCCCCAGTGCAGTGGTGTCAATTAACAATTCATTCATTTCCACTAAAGTAATGAGGTAAATACAAAAGCAGTCGAGCTGATGTAAAACAAAATAGGGGAGAAACATAAACAAGTTAAACAAAAAATAACTTAAACTTAATATTGATTTTAAAAAAATTAACTAAAGACAAACTGAATACTGATAAAAAATTAACTAAAGATAAACTGAATACTGATAAAAAATTAACTAAAGATAAACTGAATATTGATCCTTACAGAACTGAGGATGTCAAACATGTTTTTCTGATGTCTTCTTATATGTTTCATCTGTAATATAGCTACTTATGTCCTATTACATATTTCTGGTTTTGTGTTATTTTGGCTGTTTATAAGATCTGTTGTTTTGTCCACTAAGTTTTCTAATCATATTTTTGTGTTGTGTTCATTATTTTGCTGATACAGATTTTGGTTGAAACCTTTGGTTGCATTTGTGCACATCCTTTCCATTTTCTCTTTTGTTCTTTCTAGTCACAGTTTATGTTGTATTTATTATTTCTTCCTTTCCACTAACCTACCTATATTGTCACAATTTATGTTGTATTTATTATTTCTTCCTTTCCATTCCCCTACCTATATTGTCACAATTTATGTTGTATTTATTATTTCTTCCTTTCCATTCCCCTACCTATATTATCACAATTTATGTTGTATTTATTATTTCTTCCTTTCCATTCCCCTACCTATATTGTCACAGTTTATGTTGTATTTATTATTTCTTCCTTTCCATTCCCCTACCTATATTGTCACAGTTTATGTTGTATTTATTATTTCTTCCTTTCTGCTAACCTACCTATATTGTCACAATTTATGTTGTATTTATTATTTCTTCCTTTCCATTCCCCTACCTATATTGTCACAGTTTATGTTGTATTTATTATTTCTTCCTTTCCATTCCCCTACCTATATTGTCACAGTTTATGTTGTATTTATTATTTCTTCCTTTCCATTTACCTACCTATATTGTCACAGTTTATGTTGTATTTATTATTTCTTCCTTTCCATTACCCTGCCTATATTGTCACAGTTTATGTTGTATTTATTATTTCTTCCTTTCCATTTACCTACCTATATTGTCACAGTTTATGTTGTATTTATTATTTCTTCCTTTCCATTCACCTACCTATATTGTCACAGTTTATGTTGTATTTATTATTTCTTCCTTTCCATTTACCTGCCTATATTGTCACATTTTATGTTGTATTTATTATTTCTTCCTTTCCATTTACCTACCTATATTGTCACAGTTTATGTTGTATTTATTATTTCTTCCTTTCCATTTACCTGCCTATATTGTCACAGTTTATGTTGTATTTATTATTTCTTCCTTTCCATTTACCTACCTATATTGTCACAGTTTATGTTGTATTTATTATTTCTTCCTTTCCATTCACCTACCTATATTGTCACAGTTTATGTTGTATTTATTATTTCTTCCTTTCCACTTCTTCTTTTGTCAAAATCTGCTTGTGCCGCTAGGCGTCGCAGTCTATCAGATGATCGGCAACCGAGCCAGGGCGCGCTCAGTCGCTTCATATGCATTGATGTTATGAAGTCTCAAGTTGTCCGTGACTCCTTCAATCCATCTTCTTCTTGGTCTTCCCCTGCCTCTTGGTGTTTCAATTTTTATGTTGTATGCTCTTGATGCTGGCATCGTTGGTTCCATTCTCATTAGGTAACCAAACCATTTCATTCTTTGCTTCTCAATAAATTTAACGATGGGTATGGTTCCAATAGTTCTTGTAATCACATCGTTTCTCACTTTATCTCTTCTGGTTTTATTCGCAGCCATTCTCAAACATCTCATTTCACAGGTGGTTAGTCTTCTCTCGTGTTCTTTTGTTAATGTCCAAGTCTGACATTGATAACCTAATGTCGGTATAAAGATTGTATTTATAATTTGTCTTTTTATCCCAGCTGGGACAGCAGGGTGTTTTAAAATTGGGGCAAGCTGGTATGCGACATTGTTGGCTTGTTGGATTCTTGCTTCGATCTCTCTGTCTATTTTACCATTGGATGTAAAGATACTTCCCAAGTATTTAAATTCTTGCACTTGTTTTAGGCTGTGATCTAGAATCTTTATGTCGATGGTCTGTTGCTCTCTACTTATGCTCATGACTTCTGTCTTTTCAGTATTGATCTTCATATGATGCTTGAGGCAACTGTCGTGTAGTAGGTTTATGTGGTCTTGCAGCTGTTTACTATCACTGTGAAATATGCATTGATCGTCGGCAAAGAGCAGCTCATTGAAGTCCTTCTGTTTATCGACATCTGTTGGTGTTATGTCTATTTTATTAATATTGTCCATAAATATTATGAAAAAGTAAAGGTGATAATACACAACCTTGTCTTACTCCTGATGTTACTGGGAACCAGTCTGTGATGCCAGCTCTTGTTTCTAATGGCGCTTTCACTTTGTCTATAAATAGCCCTAACACAATCTAAAAATTGTTCCATTTATACCGTAGTTTTCAAGAACTTTCCATAATAAATTTCTGTTTACTCTATCGAAAGCTTTTTCTTGATCTATGAAAGCGATGTTCATTTGATGTCTGTGTTCTATTGTCTTTTCGCTAACTTGTCTTAAAGCAAAAATAGCGTCAGTACACCCTCTTCCTTTCCTAAATCCGACCTGTGATGGGCTCAGGATCGGTTCTACAACGGATCTAATTCGTTGTTCCAGAATTTTGGCAAACATTTTTCTTACGTGGCTTAGAAGGGAGATGCCTCTGTAATTGTTACAATCTTGCTTATTGCCTTTTCTTTTCCAAATTGGGACTATAAGAGCTCTTTGCCAGTCTATTGGTACAGTTTTTTCATTCCAGGCTTTCCTAAATATGTGGAGTAGCCAGGTGACTTCAATTTCTCCACAAGCCTGTATTGCCTCGGCTGATATTCCATCAACATCTGATGCCTTATTTTTGGGACTGCATCTGATTGCTTCTCTGACTTCTTGTTCGATTATTGTAGGCTGTTCCTCGTTTGTACATCTGGGTGTGAATGGTACTGTTTCCTCATTTCCTGTTACATTCAGAAGAGTCTGAAAATATTCTTTCCACCTTTCTCTGATCTTGCCCTCCTCATGTATGGGTTTGCCTTGACTATCATTGACATATTCTGATGGCTGGAATGGTTCATCTCTAGTTCTCATTTTTGCAATTGTTTTGTAAAACTGTCTACTAGATTTAGCACAGATTTTGGTAAGATTTTCCCCATACATGATCCAGGATGTTTCCTTGGATTGTTTAATTTCTCTTGCAGATTGTCTCCTGGCAATTCTGTACTTGATATAATCGTCATCTGAGCGGGATCTTAGCCATTTCTTGTATTGCTCCTTTTTACATTTCACTGCTTGTTTTACTTTATCATTCCACCATGCTGTTTTTTTCCTTAACGTTCCTCCTGTGTATCTAATACCACAGAGTGTTGTTAGGCAGTTCAGAAGAGTGTTCTTAAATTTTTGCCACACAGCTTCCACATTCCTTTCCACTAACCTACCTATATTGTCACAGTTTATGTTGTATTTATTATTTCTTCCTTTCCACTAACCTACCTATATTGTCACAGTTTATGTTGTATTTATTATTTCTTCCTTTCCACTCCCCTACCTATATTGTCACAGTTTATGTTGTATTTATTATTTCTTCCTTTCCACTCACCTACCTATATTGTCACAGTTTATGTTGTATTTATTATTTCTTCCTTTCCACTCACCTACCTATATTGTCACAGTTTATGTTGTATTTATTATTTCTTCCTTTCCACTCACCTACCTATATTGTCACAGTTTATGTTGTATTTATTATTTCTTCCTTTCCATTCCCCTACCTATATTGTCACAGTTTATGTTGTATTTATTATTTCTTCCTTTCCATTCCCCTTCCTATATTGTCACAGTTTATGTTGTATTTATTATTTCTTCCTTTCCACTCACCTACCTATATTGTCACAGTTTATGTTGTATTTATTATTTCTTCCTTTCCACTCACCTACCTATATTGTCGGAGCTTGCTGGCCTTCTATCTAAGCAGTCACAGATTTGAACCTTCACTAAAACACATTTTAAAGATTTATTCTGGCTGCCAGTTGACTTGGCCAAAATTAGTCCTGGGGTGTGTCAGGGGAATTCAAGGCAGCCAACACATTGTGAATCACATTAGCTACTGAGTGACAATTCATCTATAAAAATAATAAGGATAACACTGTATGCCCAATACGCTAAAAGTGTTAGAGTAAATTCTACATTTGATCTTTAGTGAGACAGGGGTGTATTCTATCACCACTAATGTTCATCACATACGTTGACCACATTTTCAAATCAGCTAATACCCAGCAAAGGGGGCAACATTGGAGAATTACTAAACAAATTGCTTTTTGCCGATGACCAGGTAATAATAGCACCAAAAGCAGTAAAACTACAAGAACGTATTAACAGACTCTACTCAGAATGTGAGAACTACAATATGAAGATCAATGTAGACAAAACAGATGTGGTGACATTCTCCAGAAAAGGAAAAACCACCAAAATCAAAATTGATTTACACGACTTAAAGCATTCTAAAGGATTTTACATATCTTGGGAAGCATTTTTTAGAAGGTGGAAGAATTAATAAATAAATCCAACAAAGATGCAGTAAAGCCAGTAAAGTTTTAGGCTAGATGGCACCAATTTTGAAATACAAGCATGCGAATTTGAACACTAAAAGAACACTGTTTAACACAATATTTTTACCAACCCTATGCTGTCAATGTCAAACGTGGACACTTACATCCCCTAATAAACGTAAAATGTGACAATAGAGATGAAATGCCTTAGCCTCAGAAGAGCTGCAGGAGTTTCAAGGAAAGACAATACAAAATCAGACGAATGCTAGGAATAAAGCCAGTCTTACAGAACAACAAATGAAGTAGTTTGGACACCTAACAAAAATGCCCTGGTAATATATTCCACAGCCGGCCACACTGAAACATTACAACAGGTATAGAGTGAGAGGAAGACCTCGTAAATATTCGAAGTGATGGCATTAAGAACAGCTTTACAGAAATTAACATCAATCTTAATAGTGCTCTTGACAGAACTCATTAACGAACGTTACATCTCCCCCCAACATTTCACTGAGGTACAAGGTGGAATAGAAGAAGAAGAAGAAGAAGAACAACAACAACAACAGATGGGCCTGTTACAGTGATCTCTTCCTGCTCTGACACCACAAGGCATTCAAGGAGTAGAGAAAAGAAGTAAAAGAAGTTAAAATAAGCTCTTTCCTTGTAATGCCAATAAATTCCCATTCTGAAAGGTTTAAGGAAAACTGAGAGGATAAACTTCACTGTACCAGGTATTACCCTTTATGTCTCTGCATCTCTCCAGTGAAAAGCTGCCTGCCAAGAGCACCAGATAAGCTCAAACTCTGTAGCTTCAATGATGATTGCTAGGAATCTTTAAAAAAATTTGCACTCATGAACAGAGTGGCTTATGAAACAAATCTATGATCTTCAGAACGTGAGGTAAATGGCTTGGACACAAATATCTCTATCCTATCTGGCTTATCTGATTTGCTCTAACCTACCTGTGAATTCATGAAACTCTCTTTCAGCTTGGCATGTCTCATTTGCTGGGAGTGTGGCTCTCCGAAAAGACATTCATCAACATGTGAATGTTGGTTTAAGGTGCGATATTGCCGAGTTTTACCTCTGCGGGATCCACTAGAATGGGATCCACCTGAAATCGAATTTAAACTGCTTGGCTGGGGAAAAGAAGATATGCATTAGAGAAAAAAAAGCAAGATTTATGTAGTTATTTTTTTCAAAGAAAACACATTCTAGCAGATAATTCTGCATGTTCATCATGACTTTCTTTTTCTTTTTTTTTCTTCTTCTTCTTCTTCTTCTTCTTCTTCTTCTTCTTTTTTTTCTTCTTATACTTCTTCTGCTTCTTCTTCTGTTTCTTCTTCTTCTGTTTCTGTTTCTTCTTCTTCTTCTTCTTCTTCTTCTTCTTCTTCTTCTTCTTCTTCTTCTTCTTCTTCTTCTTCTTCTTCTTCTTCTTCTTCTTCTTCTTCTTCTTCTTCTTCTTCTTCTTCTTCTTCTTTTTCTTCTTCTTCTTCTTCTTTTTCTTTTTCTTCTTCTATTTCTTCTTCTTCTTCTTCTTCTTCTTCTTCTTCTTCTTCTTCTTCTTCTTCTTCTTCTTCTATTTCTTCTTCTTCTTCTTCTTCTTCTTCTTCTTCTTCTTCTTCTTCTTCTTCTTCTTCTTCTTCTTCTTCTTCTTCTTCTTCTTCTTCTTCTTCTTCTTCTTCTTCTTCTTCTTCTTCTTCTTCTTCTTCTTCTTCTTCTTCTTCTTCTTCTTCTTCTTCTTCTTCTTCTTCTTCTTCTTCTTCTTCTTCTTCTTCTTCTTCTTCTTCTTCTTCTTCTTCTTCTTCTTCTTCTTCTTCTTCTTCTTCTTCTTCTTCTTCTTCTTCTTCTTCTTCTTTTTCTTCTTCTTCTTCTTCTTCTTCTTCTTCTTCTTCTCCTCCTCCTCCTTCTTCTTCTTCTTCTGTTTTGATTAAATATTTGACACCCAGGAAATTATTCTGGATGGTCAATCCAAAACCTGGTTGTAACTGGTATTTCCCAGATGATTTGTTTAAATCCCCATTTATTATTGTTGATATAAATAAGACTTCTATGGGTTGAGACATCACAACATATCGGATAATAACTTGAAGACTACTCCAATATCTTTAGCAGCCAGAGCAGCAAAGCTACAATACCAAGACACCAGTTATAATCTGATTACGTCAACTTGCTTTTCTTCTGAATATTAATTCTCATCCAGATCCTTTGGTCATTCTTTGCAACATTCTTTCCATACTATGGTATTTTAGTTGATCTTTTATGTTGTTTACATGCTCTCAAAGAGCATTTGTTACCATCCCATTGTTAAGCATAAGTTTACCACTTGATGGTGTAGACTTGGCCACTCTGTCTGCTTGCCAGCTACTGTTAGAAAAGTTAAGACACAAGAACCTGTACTCAGAAAGGAAGACTGGATAGAATAAACTGTTGCTACAGTGACAATTACACCTTTAAAAATAAGTACAGAGTGAGAGAGAGAGAGAGAGAGAGAGAGAGAGAGAGAGAGAGAGAGAGAGAGAGAGAGAGAGAGAGAGAGAGAGAGAGAGAGAGAAGTATGTTGAAAAAGCACTAGAAAAGATTAGAACCTACAACTGTAAGTGAGATACATGGTGCCAGTTTGGATTTTCACACTAAAAAAAAGAAATACAGGCTTTTAGTTAAACTACTTCTAGCATAGCGATGGAGATAACAGCTGTCACAGGGGCATTTGCACGGCTGGTCCAACAGAATGCAGCTCATGCATTGACGGGGACAGACTCAGTGAGCATGCTTAAGAATATCCCAAATGGACTAGAATGGGTTGACAGTATTCAGAAGTTCCACCTCAAGAAACTATCATGGCTGTCCCAACCAGAATATGCCTTGGTGAAAGGAAATGAAAGAGTCGACAGATTGGCTGTGTTTGCAGTGGCTGGTGAAGGGGAAAAGTATGGTCAGGGCAGACACACTGAATGAGCTGTGTTCTAGGGACTTTGAGACACAGGAATCAGAGACAATAAACCACCTACTGGAAATGTGCATTGTTGTTGTTTGTTTGTTTTAGTATCCAGAAGCCATGAGTTGTTAACCCTTAGGCTCGGTATTATGGATATCACAACCTTTCGGCCTTGATTCCATTGTAAATACCGTAAATCTGGGAGAAAATGTGGCTTTCCTGCCTACCCCCGAGATTGAACCCGGACCACAAGGGGTTCATCACCTGGTCTCCGCGCAATCCGCTTTAAACAACTACGCTAGAGAGCCGGGTGAAATGTGTTTTAACGAGGACTGGCATGCAGAACCCGGTTGTGGGCTAAAGAAAGTAGATATGCCAATCAACTCCTACTGGGTACGGTAAGTATGTAGACACTGAGATGACTACTGTATCGGAGGTCGGAGCACGAATGGGTCCAGCCGATGTGCTGGTATATACATACAGACAACAAGTAACAAGTACTTCTCTGAATGCAGTGATAAAATCCGAGTCTGCAATCTAAACATGTTCGCAGTGCCCTAAGACAATGAGCCATACGAACCAGAATAGATAAAACATTGTGAAATTATAATGTAATTCATTGTAAAGTTATAGTTAGGGACTCATAAACAGTTGCAGAAACTCTAATAACATAAATAAAAGTTAAAAAAGTAACTTTCTCACAGTGATAGTATCCGAACATCTGAGAATCAATTATTTTTCATTAATTAATGTTTATTAAATATTTTGGCTCTCCTTCGAACTTTGTCCCCATATTATGGCAGCCAAACAAATACCCTAACAGGGCCTCAGTCGTGTGTAATTTGCGGACTTCCTCTGACGAACACATCGCGGCAAAACTAGGATTACTGTCTGTTGACAGTTTAGAGAAATGCAACAATACACACGATAATAACGGGAAGACCACGCGCTCCGTTAGTGATAGTTTTCTTCTGATTAAACTCACCACCGAGCATATCCCCGGCGCTGCTACGCACAGTGTGGATGGGGGGCGAAACTAGATGGCTGGGAATCAAGAGCAGCAGCTACCACATCTCCTGCAACTTCCTCCAATTTATTTGATCGTAAGTCCCAGCCATCTAGTTTAGCCCCCAATCCCTGGCGCGTGTAGCGGCGCGGGAAAAACTGTCGGCGGTGCGGCATAGTAGCAAAAACAGGTCCGCAGTTAACATATCCCCTGTTAGAGCATTTGTTTGCCCTCGATAATACTGGCCCGTTATTCGGAGGCAATCCTAGTTTTCCGGCGATGTATTCCTCGGCAGGCACTCCGCAATTTGCATATAACTGAGGCCCTGTTAGGGTATTTGGCTGCCATAATATTAGTATTATGGGGACGAAGTTCGAAGGAGAGCCTATATTAGTGGTTAAATAAATGTTTTGTGATTTTTATTACAACACTACACTTGTTATTAAAAATATTACATCACTAAATGCCATACACTTTAAATTATATATTTTCTTAAAGGTATAATAATGTATGGCAGTGATGAAAACATACCATTGCCGCTGTTTCTTCTGTACAAGGTCCGTGTTTATTCGATTTCCCTGGCAAACAGAGGCTTTCCTTTAGCCCCGGTTGTTGGATTGATTACATTGTAGCCATGGAGACACTGCTCGCGCGCATGTACCGGCGTCCAAACTCCGAAACGTACCGAATGTTTCAAATTAAGCCATCATGTCCCAAAGAAGTACCAGCATCAAGTGCCAAGCCGACTGGCGTGGGCGATCTAGCCACTCCAAAATCTGCGATTCGCAACTGCGCGTATCAGTTCGTGTGTTGACACATCTCCATGAAATTAAAACAAGACTGTCAAGAATCTTCTCGCACTGTCTTTCTCTGTCTCTCTTTCCACAGATCTGTCCAGTTTCCCTCCTCTCATAGCATGACCAGTTTTTTCTGATGTTTGTGATAAGTTGTCTTCGAGCACTCACCCCTTTCAAAGTACAATTCTAATTAGTCCATTAAAATAAAAAGAATGACTGTCTGTCTCTTTCTTGCCTTCTTTCCATCATCTCCGAAGTTGACTGCTTAGGCCTACTGCCTACTCAAAAAGTCAGATTAATAAACTAGAGCGCATACAGAACGCAACGATGCAGGTCATTCTGTGTTGTACCAGAGACACCTCAGTGGTGTGTGTGGGATACATCCTTGGTTTGCCGACTGTTGCAGGTATGCTGAAGGTGCTGCACGCAAAGTCATATCTCAGAGTAACAGCAGATAAAGATCCAAATTTGCATGAAGCTCTGGGGGCAGTTAAGGGTCATCGGCTGAGAAGAGGGAAGTCATGGATGGCTCTGGCAGAAGACACAATAATACAGGTTTACATCCTGGCGAACTTTAAGCGAGGAGAGGAATGTGTCAAGGTGCCAGCTGAACAGTTAGATTTGTGTAGAGTCATAATCACGATGAGTCGGAAATGCAGAGACAGGCCAGCAGGTGCCACAGAGGTGGAAATTCAGCAATTAATTCAAGATAATGCTCGCTCAAAGGATTTGATCATTTACACAGACGGTTCAGTGTCAAGAGGCAAAGGAAGTGCTTGGGAATTCTTAGCAAAAGTTCATGGTCGACATTTGGTGCAGGAGAGCTTAGCATATGATACCACAACATCCAGCTTAAGAATGGAGGTGGAAGTGGTCACTGCAGCTTTCCGCAGGCTAGAGAACACACACCCACTCACCAATACACACAAGCACACACGCACGCACACAAACACACACACACACACATCGTGATTGTAACTGACGCAGAAAGCATGATGAAGAAGGTCGGGACAGGCAAGCTTCGTGCAGAGTGGCATGCTTCGTGCAGAGTGGCATGCTTCGTGCAGAGTGGCAAGCTTCGTGCAGAGTGGCATGCTTCGTGCGGAGTGGCATGCTTCGTGCAGAGTGGCATGCTTCGTGCGGAGTGGCAAGCTTCGTGCAGAGTGGCATGCTTCGCTGCAGAGTGGCATGCTTCGCTGCAGAGTGGCAAGCTTCGTGCAGAGTGGCATGCTTCGCTGCGAAGGTCACTTATGAAGAGTATTGCCTAGATCGTTTCTCAGGGATATGTCAATGTATTGGGAAATGAACAGGCGGACAGACTGACTGGCTCTGCACAACTTCGTGGAATATTGATGCATGATAAGGCAAACGTGGTTATGACCGTGTGGTAGACTGTGTACAATTCAGAGGAACAAATGGATCACCACAGTCTGGTGAGATGTGAGGAGTGACGAGAGGTTCCGGCCGATGCTCAGCGCTCAGAGGGAAGGCCAGACGGACGTTTAATCAGAATGCTACTGGCACCATTAGTATTGGAACTCTGTGCTGGCTGCTGAAGATGGGGGAAAGGGCGCTTATGGGAATGCCCCATTAAGATATATTAACATCTCATCTGCGAGTTGCAATAAATATTCAACTTGGTGGCGGAAAGAAAGAAAAGATGCATTTAAGAATAAAACAGACATATAAACAACGCATAAAGTCAAAGCTTTGTTCCATTCGAGTCCTCTGTCAGGGAATATCGGATGTTGTCTTCCCATCTAACCCTGGTTCTTCCTGGTGGTCTGGTTCCCTGGTTCTTGGAATCCCATGCTTGCCGTGGTTTCTGTCCCATTCTGCATACATGTCCAAACCATCGTAACTGTGACCGATCCACTCGTTTGTAGGGCCTGGGTTTCAAGGTCATGACGTATTGTTTGATTGCCAACGTTGTCCTGTATTGTCACTTGGAACACGTTTCTCAGATATCTCCTTTCTGAGATCTGAATCTGGCTTCTGTGAGCTGTTGTCATTGCCCATGACTCACAACGATTGTGTCAGGACTGGCAGCAGATAGGGTGAGTGGTATATAGCCATTTTCCCCTTGCTAATGTTTATTTTGCTGAGAAACTCCCCGGTTTTTGGCATGGAAAAGTCTCCAAGCCGCTGCTTTTCGAGCAGCCAACTCTGACTTGATGCCTTTATTCTGGTCTATTACAACTCCAAGGTATTTGAACTGGTTGACCTGCTTCAGTGCATCTTGTCCCTTCATTATCTGATGTTTCTTCTCCTCTGTCGAGATCCCCATGGTTTTAGTTTTGCAGATATTGGGGTCATCCCTCTCTTCTCCAGTTCTTCAATCCAGAAAAATAAATTTTAAGGTGTGCCTCTGATTTAGAAATTAGAGCCAGAGGATTCGCAAATGCCACCTCTGATATGCAGGTTGATCTATTAAAAGCTTCGCTGCGGAGGACACGGGTGAGAAGTATTGTCTGGATTTTTTCACCGGGGCACACGGTTGTGTTGGGAAATGAACAGGCGGACAGACTGGCTGGCTCTGCACACCTTGGTGGAATACTGATACATAATAGGCAGACGTGGTTAGTGCCTTGTGGGAGAGCGTGTACAATTCAGAGGAGCAGATGGATCACCACAGTCTGGTGAGATTGATGCAGCAGGGAGTAACGAGAGGTTCTGGAAGATGCTCGCGGCTCAGAGGAAAGGCAAGACGGACGCTTAATCAGAATGCTACTGGCACCATTAGTATCGGAACTCTTCGCTGGCTGCTGAAGATGGGGACAGAGCGCTTTTGGGAATGCCCCGAGTGCTGTGATGTCAGTACTTGAATCAAATCAAATCAAATAAAATCTCCTATTCAAATATCCTACTGAGTACTTCTTGTTTTCATCTTACAGGTCTTGATGAAATCATCCATCATTAAAATGAATGAAAGGAAAGTGAGCAGAAATGTGAACGGACCTAGCTGAAAGTGGTCAACGAAAGAGAATTTGAAATTAAAATGAAAATGTAAGGCTAGAAAAAATTTTCCAGTCTAACACAGCCAGTGGTTTTACATTATTCCTGTTCTTTCATAACTTCTGCAGCATCTCACTTTCATATCTCTGGGTCTTTTTGACACATCTGTCAAGGTGTGAAGATAAGATCCTGAGCACTTTGATTTACTCTGAAACTGCACTGGTCCTGATCTAGCTATAGTTCCGCCAGAAATCAGAGTCTCTGTTAAAAAATTCTTCCACTGCATAACTGAGATAAGAAACAGAATAGGACAGGCAAAAACTGCATTTTATAAAATTAAGAACATCTTGTCATTGAGAGTTAGAAAAATAATTCTTGCTTGTTACATACATCCAGTTTTAACATATGGCTGTGAATCCTGGACAATCGGTAGGCAGGCCAAACAATTTCTTGAGGTCTCAGATATGTGGTTTTGCAAAAGAATGCTTAGAATACCTTGGACAGCCAAAAAGAGCAACCAAGAGATTTTGAAAGAGGCAGGAGCCTGAAGACAACTTATCACGGACATCAGAAGGAGACAGACATCATTTTTCGGCCATGTTATGAGAAGAGGGAAAATAGAACATATTGTGACCACTGGAAAGATATGTGGAAGGAGGGATAGAGGAAGACAACGAGAGAAGATTCTTGACAGTCTTGTTGCATGGCATGGAGGTGTGTCAGCACATGAATTGACACTCTGCAAGAGATCGTGGATTATGGAGAGGCATGATTGCCCATGCCAGTCGGCAAGGCACCTGATGATGATGATGAGAGTAATTTTTACCAGGAACGCTGAGGAGGGATGTGCCTCTGTGATTATCATATTGTCTGTTATCAAAATCCCATCGAATTGTGCAAATGTTTATAAGAAAATGTAGAAGCACAGTAAGAATAAATCAGGGGTCATCTAAATAATTCATATTAACATGCGGAGTAAGATTGAAATGTGTCTTACCACAGCCTATGGCATGGTGAGTGTGACTAGCAAGGTCCGCCTGTGTTAAGAGAAGTCTTCCACAATTATAGCATGGGATTTCAGGACCGTTGTTAACATTTGTGTTCAGTTTGTTTCTTCTCAAACGCTCAGCTCTCGTCTTTTTCTGCATTCATTTCTTCCTTCAGTCTAATTCTCTTCCTGATGTGCCCCTCCCTGCAACATGGTCCATAACATTTTGTTCCCACAAATTCACCTCCATATCTGTATCCATTCATATCCTGCTTGCACACATCTTTATATCGTAGTAGCAGTCGACCTGGATATCTTCTACTTGCCTTTAAATCACAAGCAGTAGAAAGATTTATTTATTCTGGGATTCTAACCAGTGTCAGTGATACCTCGGTTTACAATCACTTTGGTATAAGTTCAACTTGGTATACATCCTATTTAGATGCAAAAACTTCTCCTTGTTATACGACATTTGTTTGGAAAACAAATTTGTATGAGTCAAAAATAGTCGTGACATCCGCACTACCTTTGTTTACCTCTCTCAAGACAAAGGCACCAATAGATGTCATAACTTTGCAGAGATGTATCACCACCATAAAGTCGTAGCAGCATTGTTTGGAATGACTGATTTCATATTTCTAAAACATCCTGAGGAAAAGGCAGTAGCAAAGTTTTTCTGAAGATTTTTGGCCAAAGTCAAAACTGATGAGCCTCAACCAGGTCCAAGTAGTGAAAACAGACAGGAAAAAAATAGAAGAGAAAAACACATGAATTTCAGATTCCTAAAGTCTTATTGAAACGGGACTCTCCTTCCAAACATTAATATCTTCTCCTCCTACCTTCTCAGCACCATCCTAGTATGCACTCGACTCATCTCAGGAAGTGAGGTAAAATTTACATTTATTTTATCTAACTACTTTTTTATTTATCTCTTCTAGTATTAGGCAGTACATAAAATATTGTACACAGCTCCATCAATGTACAATATGCCAATAATAATAGGAATCTTTTCAGGGGAATGGATTAGTTATTCTCCCTATATTTCTTATGGCAAAATCTGTCTGGTATATGTCAAAAGATCAGGAGCTGATAAAGTACCCATAATGAGGTACCATTATACGTAAAGCAGCTATAAGATTATCTAGAGAACTTTTCTTGAGATTAAATTAGGGGGGGGGGGGGGGGTGTACACAAAGGCAGCGAGAAAGATCACTGGCGGAACGGAAGGTCGTGGCATCGCCTCCTGGCGGAGCTGGACTTATTTCCTTAAAAAATGACCTTGGCTCCCAGGTCGACCCAGCCTTGACTGGGTCCCGGGTGCAGTCCCGGGAAGTAAAGGTGGCCCGCATGATGCTGACCAAATCACCCATCTTGTGCCTATTGGTCTTTAAAATATAGGTCTAGCCCTATATGCCCTATACGCCTATAGGCATGGAAAAGGGACCTTTACTTACTCTACTTAATTTTGAGATGTGAGCAATACAGATCACTATGAACGGTTACACGGTGAATTCATGCTCATGACCTAACTAAGTAACGACAAAGTATCAGTCATCAAGCTCTCCATAATCTTGGACGGATTCAATTATACAAACATAAAAAAAACAAGAAACCATAACAGATGAGTTTCTGAAAAATTATGTTAACTGATCCCCTAGTGAAGTGGTTCGCAATTAGCTTAGACCTGTGTATCCTTTATATTTTTGAACGTCTGCTATCTGCTATGGACCTCACCTTTTTTAACACTTACACCATGCAACTTGACATTTATATGAGAGATAGTCAAAAAGTAATGCCTCTTATTTTTTTCAAAATTATGTAAATACTGTGGCATCCGTGGCTTAGGCGCTGCGAGCCCGAATCATAATTCCATCATATCGCGATCGAAACCCACTGCTGGCTGCGTGGATTTTTGTCATGGTATGGGGTGTCGCAAGTTAACCCAGCCTATAATAGGTACCAGTATGTATGTCCTGGGGAAGTAAAGACGGCCGGCGTAATACTGACCACATTACCCACCTAGTGCCGACCGTACTGTAAAAAAAAAAATGGGTGCTCTTCCCATATGCCCGATGCGCCTAAAAGGCATGAAAAGGGATCTTTACTTTACTTACTCATGTAAATACTGCACTAGTGTGCAATTAGTAAATTTAATAGAATTCCTCAAGCACTCTTCTGCACTGTATAGCATTACCAACCTGTTTCAGTAACAGGTGGCACCACTGTAACGGTTTAAAAGTGGCTTCCAAAGATGAACTGTTAAAACAACGTAATTTCATAGAGTTGCACAGTGCTGAAGGCGCGACTCCAGATAAAGCTGAAGTATGTCAATAACTAATGACTGACACAAATCGGACTGTCTACTGCAGTTACTCCACACAATATTAATGGAATTGATGACATCATTCGACTGACCGCTGGGTAACACTGGAAGAACTGATGGCCTGGACGCTTCCTTCACTAATGGACAACATGGAATACAGTTCAACCAGTGTTACCCGATGGTCAGCACAAATGCTGTCACCACCTTGATAAATTTTGTGTAAAGTACCTGTGGCAGACGGACAGCCAACCCACTTTACATCAGCCTTTGAGAGTTGACCTCCTTCAGCTTTGTCACAACGATGTACCCAGCGTCGCAGAGTACCAATCTGCACAAAGATTCTCAAAATGTTTGTGGATGCAAACTGGGATCTCACCATCAGCCCTAAGGAATTCAATGACATAACATTGTTTTAACCAAACTGCATTTAACCTATCTACATTCACTTTCTCCTTTATTCCAATCCCCATCCTGATTTTCTCCTCCATGCAACCCGGCTTTTGGAATTTTGTTACCCACAAATCTATTTCAACATCTGAACATTCACATCTTGCTTGAACACAACTTTATGTCAAATAGAGGCTGGTCTTGACATCTTCGACACATCTGTAAGTCACCATAGAGAATTTCCTTAGAGCCTTTACCAGCCTACATTCTCCAAGTGTTACCTAGCCATTCGAGCCTCTAAAGACTGGGTATTGAGAAAACTTTCCAACAGCTCAGTGTCTGTTATCTTGTCAAACTGTTTACAATCAGCATTTTTTTCATTTTCATTAATTCTCTGCCATCTACTGACATACAAAATTGTGGAAATCACAAGATGATGTTACAGAATTAAATGATTCAGAATATAACTAGATATAAAACACATACTTGAAAATTCAACTTTCCAATGGAAAAATTAAAACGGAATCTAAAAATTAAAAGACTGAATTATAAAACAAAGCGGTCGGCTCCATCTTCCCTCACTGCATTATCTAACTTGTTTTCTTCTGCCAATGACCGAAAATGCTGCAACAGAAGACAAAGAAAAAGGATATAAAATAAAATTACACCATAATAGATTCTGGGTCATCTGGGTATTCAACATCACAGCATTCAGGACACGTCTGTATTAGTTACGTCTCCATAGTCAACAGACAGTGAAGAGTATCTATCTATACAGACTGTGTCCATTGTCATCTGGTTAACTACTCCTCTTCTTTTTCCTCCAAGTCTTGAGTGATGCTTAGAGCTCAAAGACACTCCCTCCTGTATCCTTCTCTCACTTGGTAAAGGTGTCCATCATCTTTAGTTTTCCATAATATATTAAATCTGTAACTACTGTCTGTATGTACCCCTTTTGGTGGGGGTTAGGGGCGGGGGGTAGACAGGGGTCATATGCCTGAGGATTTAGAGCGGCATGGCTAGTGCTGTCGCCACGGTCTGTACAGGTTAGGATGTTAATTCTGACCCCAACAAACAAAAACTCTATCATCTTACCGGGGGTTAAACCTGGGTCTCCCGCATGAGAGCCGGATGTTGTAACCACTTGGCCAGCCCCACCTCAATATATTAAACCAATTTATCAGAATCAACAAACAACATTGCATACACCCTCACGTTTTTCTAGTGACCTCTCAGAGCTCAAGGTGTAGAAATCATTGAAACTTCAATATATTTTTAAAATATGCACAATATACCCGTTTAGAACCACATCAGCACAGCCGCTAGATATTTGATTGCCACCCTGAAGGTTAAATCCATTTTGTAGGCATTTTTTTGTTGTTGTAATTTTTTTCATCGGCTCACAGTGTGACTCAGGTTAAAATGGGCACAAGGAAATGTCCTGGTAAGTAAAGCTGGCCAATATGCAGTTGGTCCCATTCCCATGTTAACTGGTCTATAACAGAATTGACTAGCATCACAGGCCTAATGAAAAAAATGGTGCTTCACAGGCAGTAAATAGAAAACATTCTCTGGGGCCTGAAAAACATAAATGTCAGGAGATGTGACCCTGTGACCTATATCAATGAGGTTATGGGAAAATTTGACCTCAATTTCATTGCAAAAAACATATTTGGCTCAAAGGAAAACCAATTAACTGTTTTTTAAGTAATACAGTCATATCAGACCTACTAAACCATTTGTTTAGGCATTTAAACAGCCAATAGCACTAATATAGGTTAAAGTTTAAGGTTAGAGAGGATTGACTTCACTGCACCGGGTTTTATACCATATGACAGTCTCTCTCAGCAGAATGGCCTGCCGTGAGTGCCACACAGAGCATGAACTTCATCGCTCTGGCAATGATTGCCAGGGATCTCCATAAAAATTGCACTCGTGAAATGAGGGTACAGCCATGAAACGAACCCATGCCCTTGACATCACGAGACAAACAGTCCCCAAGAATGTATTCCATTTAATGCTTCACCCTGTTCTTGTTTACTGATTACTCTTTTCATATTTAAATATAACTCAGGGAAAGGAAGGGAAGGGGGGGGGGGATGACTAAAATGCCTCTTGTAAACAGGTCACTTTAGGCAAGTCAACATGTAAGAGAATTCAAATAATTAGGAAGCATATTCTTACCAACGCTCTGCTATCACTGTCAAACATGGACACTGTCTTCAGAAGACACAAGAAAAATAGTCATGACAGAAATGACATGTTTACGTACTTTGCTAGGTGTAACCAGGAAAGACTGATTTAAGAATGATGATATTAGGAGAAGAATCGGCATAGAACCAATAGTCAACTTCATAGGTAGACAACAAATCAAATGGTTTTACCATGTAACAAGATTCGCATCAGACAGGGCACCACAGACAGCAATGTTATACCGAATCAATGGTCAGAGCCAGAGGTTGACCAATGAAGAAGATAGACCACATAATTATCAGAGACACTAAAAAGTTCTAGATATGAAGCTAACAGAAGGGCCCGTCCTAGAGATCTCTTTCTCCCCTAATGCCGCAAGGCATTCCAGGAGTAGAGAAAAGAAGAAGAAGAAGAAGTAAGAATATTTACAGAGGATGGCAAACTTGAAAGAAAGATAAAAGCCAGAGCACAGAAGGTAAATGATGTCACCCCCCCTGCTTAGACATCCAAATGACTCCCTTCCAGTGAAACAGCAAATGATCATTAGCATCATTATCCCTACTTCATGTTATCAGTGCCAAACATGGACAATTAATAAGACGCTAGAAAAGAAAATAACTGCATGTGAAATGTGCTGTCTCGGCAAGGTCACTAACACCATAAGAAGAGACAGGGTTACGAATACCAGCTTTAGAGAGAAAGTCGCAATAAGACTATATCTGGATTATACTGACAGACGAAGAATGAAATTGTTCAGCCATCTAGTGAGAATGAAGCCAGACCAAACTGCATATGTGACTTTTTACAACAGAACATTTAGGAGGAAGGTGTGAGGAAGACCAAGAAAGAGATGAATAAGTGTAGTAGAAACCTGCAAAAAGATGAACAAATCCATCACCCAAGCCACCGGAGAAGCATAAGACAAATTCAGAACACCGTGACACTGGTCTACAACCTGGTATCAGTGAGATGTCAAAGAAGAAGAAGATATGTAAGTCAGAAAAGTTACATTTACCAAGAATTAGGCAAAAATGGAAATGTTGATTTTGCAGCTTAAGAAAGCTTATAGACCCAGTATTCGAGAATACAGTAAAGAAAATGTATAAGTGTTCACAAAATATAAAGTATATAGATATAGATATCAGTAAATAGTAACAACTTACCTGGGAATTCTTAAACTCGGAGTACAATGTAAACAAGACATGCAAGGCTTGGATTTTTTCATTGTGATGAGATGAATTCTTGTAGACTGGGATGTCTAAAATTGCTGAAATACAAAATATTTAATTTTCATGTAAATTTATATTATCTTGTACCACTGTTGAAACAAGCATGGACTAGTTTTGATATTAAAATTTAGCTGTAAACGAAAATAATGATTTATTATAGGAGACAAACAACAGCAAGATAAACATAGTAGAAAGTAACGAAACAGCATACAGTGATGAATGAACAATTAAGAATCTACATCACAGCACTCGGGATACTTCTATAAGTGCTCAGTCCCCATCTTCAGCAGCAAGCGAAGAGTTCCAGTTCTGATGGTACCAGTAACTGTCTGAATGTATGAAACAGCAATAAGACAAACAGCAGAGGCTAAGAGAACAAATGAAGCAAATTAAATGCTACTGCATCAGCTATTTGTTGTCCTGTTGTATCATTCATTATATGTCACATAGGACTTGCAGTCTATTCCTCCATTCTGTTCTTCCTTGTGCACTCTTAAATTTCCTGCATGGAATCCAGTTAAGCGCCTTTGGCCCCTCTCATCAACTTTCATTTGACGGTTTCTTTTGAGCGTCCTCACTTCCTCAGTCCCTTCCTGTTACATTTTTGCCTTTTTGGTGATACTCTTCTCGTTTCTTGTCAGGATATGTACAAAACAGCGCAATCTTCAGTGTTCACAATTGTCCTCATGCATTTGTTTTCAAAAGCATTTAACGTTCATTCTATGTTTTAAGTGGTGTTTCTGACATTCCCTGGCATATGTTAAAACTGAAATAACATACGCATTGACAATATGCAACTTTGTGTCAAAACTATACAACTTATAGCATATTGCACCATACGTACAGGTAATAATTTCCACGTATTCGCCCAAATCACAGTCAAGTTCAGCTGTGGGAAGCTCAACCTAAGAAGAAACAATGAATTATTGTCAACATATTGCTACAATTTTCACTCGAGTGATATGATTACCGAGGCATATGGTTCATTTCAAGACGGAAAAGAAGTGCTTAAGAATTCACAGCAAAAACTAATGGATGGGTTACATCGAAGAAGAAAATAGGAAAACAGTACTGTGCTTACAGTATTTAAATTAAGGAAATAAATATGAAGGCAAACTACACTGTGCTTGCAACAGACATATACCATGGAACAGCTTAAAAAAAACATAATAGTGAATAAAATGTATAATGTTGTCGCCATTAAATTATTAACTTTAAATTATTCATTACTTGAAACAACAAAAAAAGTAGTGCAAAACTGTTGTAAAAATAATGTAATGTTTCTACTTAACCATTCTTTTTTTAAAGTGATGGTACTCAACAGTTTTTTAAAAAAAAAAGTGCCAGCACTCACCACAAAGCGTTTTTATTATACAGTAGAACTGGAAAACAAAATGTAGAGCCAGACAAAAAAAGAGTGGTATTCAACTATCATTAACCACACGGTACTGCAGATTACACCAGGCTGGTGTAATCATTACAGGTGCCAAGATGACACTTCTATGGGGGGTGGTTGGACAAGACATCTGGAATGTGCTCTGTTGGCTTGCCATCCAGAAAGTTTGTTTTTCATCTCAGGGCGAAGAAATTTTCAGGTTACAGCCCAGAGGGGGAAAATGGAAGAAAGGAATAGCTATCTATGTGTGGCCCTTGCAACAATCTACCTATTGCCCAATCCCTCATTCAATTCATTTATACAATTTTTCAATTTCAATTCCACTAACTGATGCATCTGTCCCTCAACTTATCCATCTGCCAGGTTGACCCCGGCTAAAATGGATACTTGAAAATATTCTGAGAAGTCTGAATTTTGAACAACGGATCAACATCATGGTGCACGGATAGTAACCCATGAGTGCTCCGTTCTTTCTTCTAACTCAAGTCTGAGTCTGAAGAAGCTCAGTTCAGTGCACAAGCCCTGTAGCATTGGCGAGGATCCTGAAATACTTTCTTTTTAACTCAAAAATTTGTTCGGGCATTTTTGTTAGGCTACTTTTTTCAATTTACAACTGCCAAGGGATTTTTTTATGTGCGCAACAATGCACACGGGCATCCGATCTTACTACCCAGAGACCAGGGGGAATTACTAGAAACCCAAGTCCACGTGAAAAGATTTCAGCCCTTACCGGGGATTGAACCCGGCACCTCTAGCACTCAAGGCAGACACCATACCTCAAAGCCACACAGCCCCCCTCCCCCATTCAGAGAAGTAAAGATAACTGGCATAATTACTGGCCTCCTGATTACTTCCTGTTACACAAGTGGCTTCATACCATAATGATCACTAGAAATCCAAGTCCACGTGAAAAGATTTCAGCCCTTACCGGGGACTGAACCCGGCACCTCTAGCACTCAAGGCAGACACCATACCTCAAAGCCACACAGCCCCCCCCCCCTCCCCCATTCAGAGAAGTAAAGATAACTGGCATAATTACTGGCCTCCTGATTACTTCCTGTTACACAAGTGGCTTCATACCATAATGATCTATTTGCCCTTCCAAACGTTTTGCTTTCTCCCCAAGGGTCTTGACCACATCTAGCTTGTCATGCAACAATTAACCATCCAATGGTGCAGCACCAAACAATCCCTCTGCCTGTTCATTTCCCAATACACCTACATATGCAGGAGACAAGATCCAAAACATGCAAACTACAAGGGACTTCTGAAGAATGAGGCATGCTTTATTTTTTATTCAACCAAACTGCAGATAATAAATGTGACCAACCTCCTTCAGCAGCTGCTCAAACTCTGGTGGCCACTCTTGCATCAGTGTGTCAATGTCTGGCATATTCCTGAAGTCATAAATACCACACAGTTTCTATGAAGGCAAGGAACTGGATGACACTGTTTTTACACTAATTATAATAATTAAAGTTATTCACAAATGTTGTGGTGGTGGTGGTGGGGGTGGATAAGAAAGAAGAAGCATAAAAGGCAGATGGTGAGACATACAGCAATACACTGTCTTGGTGAGACAGACAAAGATACACTCTGTCTTGGTGAGACAGACAGACAAGGATACACTCTGTCTTGGTGAGACAGACAGACAAGGATACACTCTGTCTTGGTGAGACAGACAGACAAGGATACACTCTGTCTTGGTGAGACAGACAGACAAGGATACACTATGTCTTGGTGAGACAGACAGACAAGGATACACTCTGTCTTGGTGAGACAGACAGACAAGGATACACTCTGTCTTGGTGAGACAGACAGACAAGGATACACTATGTCTTGGTGAGACAGACAGACAAGGATACACTCTGTCTTGGTGAGACAGACAGACAAAGATACACTCTGTCTTGGTGAGACAGACAGACAAGGATACACTCTGTCTTGGTGAGACAGACAGACAAGGATACACTATGTCTTGGTGAGACAGACATTAATGTGGAATGAGTGGATACTATGCATCAGTATGCCAAAATCGCAGGGAATCACATGGATATACTGTTCGGGATATGCAAGAGTGGATCTTCTGGCTACAAAAGTGACAGCTACGGACAGAACACTTGTACTGGACAAGAAAGATATATGAACGACTGTTGACAGAAGACACCAGATTAGAAGAAATAACGTGCAAGAAAGTGTGAACGAGGAATTAAATGTGGATCCGGCAAGGAGAGACGAATGAGAGGAACAGTGTATAACCAGTGCACTACAGGAACAGTTAACATTTACACCTTAGGACATTAGCTGTGGGAGACGGAGCCTCTGTGGGTATGCCCGGTGTGCTATGATGGCGATTCTTAAATCAGCAAATCAGAGACAGACAGGGACATACTCAAATCAAACATTTTGTAGACTTGCTCATGAACATTTTGCAACAAAAGCTGTCTTCAGCATGAACTACCATTTTCACACCAACCCACCTTGGTCCCCTACTACAACAAACATGGCAGGTTACTATTCTTTGATTCACTTACTGATCCCTGGCAACACATCGGCAGACAGAGCATATTATAATAAGATATCTGATAGCATATTTACCATCTTTTGTTTTGAAATTTCCCCGAGTCAGTAACCACACCTAATCAAATACTTTATGTCTGCTATAAATAACTGTCAATACAAGGATTTCAAAATTAACATTTGACCTCAACAATTATTTTTTCAACTTCTTCTTCTTCTTTTCTCTACTCCTGGAATGCCTCATGGAGTCAGGGTAGGAAGAGATCTCTGTAAAGGGCCCTTTTGTTTGCTTCGTATATAGTACTTTTAAGCGTCTCTGATATTTGTGCGGTTCACAATTTTGCGTGGTCGACCTCTGGCTCTGTTACTGCTGTATCTGCATAACACGGCTCTCTGTGGCACCCTGTCTGATGCCAGACTTGTTACATGGCCAAACCATTTGACCTGCTGTCAAGCTAATAAGTTCAGTATTGGTTCTGTGCTGACTCTCCTCCTGATATCATCGTTCCTAAGTCGATATTTCCTCATTACACCTAGTATAGTAAATAAACATTTCATTTCTGTTGTGACTATTTTCCTTCTGTATTCTGAGAACATTTTTTTTTCAACTTATGGGATTTAAATGTTTCTCACAGTCTATTAACGACAGTAATATGAGCCAGTTAGATATTTTGATATTCTTTATTTATTTATTAATTTTTTTTAAACACAGCTTTAGTGGTAATGTGTTTGTTTATTCGTTTAAATTCACTGAATGTAAACTCTGGCAAAAACTTCCTGGTTGTTAGTCCATTTTTGTACTTTGACTTTGTTCCAGGCTTGAGTTTCATGTCTGCATCTATTTTACAGACCTATTCAAACTGCTGTGTTCTTGCCTCTCAAAAAAACACAGTGTGACTTTGAAGGAAACATCGATCGTGTCTCTAGGATGACTCTGAAGAAGACATTGATTCTGTCTCTAGAATTACTTTGGCTAATTTGAACATTTTGTACCACTGAGTAGGATGTTGGCATTTAGTAGGACTCTTGATTGAAACACGCGTGAATCACTGTTTGCCATTTACTAGAAGACTCAGCATGTGAACTTCCTCACTTTACAATGAGTTCTTGATAAGTGTAATCACTCTAGTATTGGGAGTGGGCTGGTGGAGTGCTTTAGGCTGGACACTGCAACTCTGTGAGCCACAAACTCTGAGATCCCTTGCCAGCTCAGTTGAGGTCTATATAGGCCATTATTCACGATGCATGATGGGAACATGTGGTAGAAGTTGCATGAGGTTCTGTAAAATGGCATAGCTGGTGCCCCAGATAAGGTATGGGCATCCTTTTATACACTGCACAAAGGTCTTAACTTTTCCTCCCAAATGTGATCAAAATCACAAGTGTTCAACACAGTAAACCTTGTTTTTATCTTTAAAAGACAAAACCCAGACCAAAAAATGCTACCTGCTGTAGTGAACATTTGCCGGTGGTTTGGAACGGTGCAGTTCTCTAATGTTCTCAATCCAATTCTCAATGTGCTTGGGGTTTTTCTCTGCATTCTTTAAACTCTTGACAACCTGGAATGGGAAATAAACTACTGTGAACAGAGTTGCAGAAAGCAAACTTAACTAGTGAGGTTTGAACAACAGATCAACATCATGGCACACGGGTAGTAACCTATAAGCGCTCCGTTTTTCTTCTTACTCAAGTCTGAGTCTGAAGAAGCTCAGCACAGTGCACAGGCTCTGTAGCACTGGCGAGGATCCTCAAATACTTTAGGTAGATTTTTAACTCAAAATTTGTGTCTTAGCAGCATTGTTGGGCTTCTCTTTTTGATTTACAACTGCCAAGGAATTTTGTTACGTGCACAATAATGCACACAGGCGTCCGATCTCACTACTAAGAGACTAGGGAGAATTACTAGAAGTCCAAGTCCACGTGAAAAAATCCCAGCCCTTACCGGGGATTGAACCAGGAACCTCTAGCATTCGAGGCGGACACCATGCCCCGAGACCATGCAGCCCCTTCCTTAACTAGTGAATAGTTTCTGAATGTATAAAACAGTAATTATAGGTAAGTTTATGGCATCTACCAATAATTTCTTTGTGGCATATACACTTTCAGTCTGTACCGTCTTCTCCTCCAGTTGCTTCATCAAGGTGTTGGGGGAAATGTAAGGATCTTCTGTGAGCTTTTCCTAATGTGTTGCAGAAGTTGATCTTTATTTCTCTGACACTGTTCTTGATGCTGTCATTCCAATTTTTGCCTGTTTCTTCCTCGTGATCTGTGTCCATTAGTGTCTACAGTTTACAATGGAGAGATGTGGCATTTGCACTTAACTCCTACAATGATTTCATAGATACATGGTCTGTATCCTGCTGAGATATAACACAATGTGTGACTGGAATTGTTCACTTCAACAGTCAGCAGTCATTACATTTATAATGGACAAGGGGGGATTTTATAATGACTACCTTAAAACTGCTAGTTAAGGATGTGATAACAGGATCTACAAGTTTTTAAGTAAAGTAAAAGTAAAGATCACTTTTCATGAATGGAGCAAGTATGGAGAAACCCTTGGGCATATCGGGCATATGGTAAGTGCACCCAATATTTTTACAGACCAATCAACACTAGGCGGGTAATGTGGTCAGCATTACGCTGCCTGTCTTTACTTCCACCAAAAATCCATCCTGGTACCCATTTTTAGGCTAGGCTGACCTAGGACGCCCCATACCATGATACAAATCTGCGCAGCCAGCAGTGGGTTGCGATCACGGTGCGTTGGAATTACAAGTCGAACTTGCAACGCCTAAGCCACGGATGGTGCCAATGTATTTAAGGGTGTCCAAATTTGAATTTAAGTGGAAAAAAATTCTTTGATCAAAGCTACAAACCTCAAAATTTCACAATTTGAAAAAAAAAGCGCTCATCTGGGACATTATGCAAATACCACAGGTTACTTATTAGGACCACCCATTTTTACAGCTTCATGAGCATAAGGCAGACAAGCGAAAACTGATTCTTATCAAGACTAAAAGATAAGAACAAAGGAGTCGGAATCAATGACAGACAACAAGAAACAGAACCAGAGAAATTAAACCATGAAATACATCACACAAAAAACACAACCATAATTATAACTTAAGTTGTTGTCAGCAGTTTAAATGCGGTCACACTTTTATGTTTTTTGTTTTGTTTTAATTCTTCTCTTTCTTCACATTCACTAGCTCTAAACTTTAGTGGAAAGTTCTGGTTGTTCGTCCACTTCTGGACACTGGTCATGTTCCAGAACTTAGGTTTTGACTGCACTCCTATTTTACAAATCTGGCTTATTTGTGTGCAGACTGTTGGTCCCTTGCCTCTCAGGCAGATGCACTATGACATTGAAAAAACCCACCTTAACTGGTCAATTATTACGTCATGCTTGTGAGGGAGGCAGTAAGTCCATTCCTTCCCCCTTCCCCTTACACAATAGCCCTATAACCCACATGAAATTGTTTAAAAGTCAAATAAAACTTATTTATGTGTAATTACAAGAAGAGACAGACAAATGGATGGATCTGACATGTTTATAACTAGGTTTTCTGAAGAAGACAAAATCTATGATTCTGTTCTTTACCCATGATTTGATCTTATGTCATTTCTAATGTCAAGTTGTAGCAGATCTGTACTAAGCTTTTAATCAAATCCTTCTTGGTCTTCGAGTTTTTAAGCCACATCCGACACCCTCAGTTGCTACCACTAATGAGACACATAAAGGTAAGATGCAAACTTCCAAAAGAATCACTCTCAAAAGACAGTTGTTGAATCTTCCTAGCAGTAGCGACTCATAGGTAGACACTGCCGAACTGCAGCTTCTTATCTCATACAGATGTGTGTGTAGACAACTGGTAGTCTATTCAACCTTTTGTCTGCATGCGTAATGTCCAAGATAAGAAGTTGCAGCTCCATAGTGCCTACCCAAGAGTCACCACTGTATCCAAGAGTATTAACTCTTTTAAACATCAGCAGAAGCGTAAACATTCCAAAATCTATAATAAACAGAGAAACAATACATTACCAGTTGTTTGGCGGTCGTTTGTTTAGAAATGGCTCTCAACTGAAGATCCAAAACTGTGGGGTCACTTTGTTTAGCACATGGTTCATCCAGAACAGTCAGTCCTAAAGTATCAGGTTTATTGTCTGGTCGGGGAATCTAGAACATAGAACAATTCCACAGACTCCAAAAAAAAACTAGTATAATTAGAGTCAATTAACATGAAACATAACCAGGAGACTTGACTGGCTCCTTCAGTAACAAGCAATTCACCACATATTTACAGACAATGCCTGAACTGACATAATTTACATAACCCTATCCCCCGCCCCTAAATTCTAACAAAAATAGGTCACAAACACGTGGAAACTCCTGTGGAATGAATCCTTAAAAAACAAAAAAGTTTTTTACACAGGTCACTAACAGATTTTAAAAACATTTATCTACCTTCTTCAGCATTCTGTTCCCTCGAGGTTCATTGCTGAAGATATCACCAGCCTCTATTCATCTCTATGGTTGGCCTTATCTTTCCAGCTAGTGACACCAAGTGTTTGCAGGTCTTTCAGGACGTTATCTCCACATGTTCTTCTTGGTCTACCTCGTGATCTACGACCATCCATCTCCCTTGTGTGTACAGTTTTTACTTCTCTGTCATCTGACATTTTAAATATGCCCCAACCATTTCAGTCTATTAGCTCTCATGATGCCAGTGGTGATTTAAACAGAATTTTTTTATTGCTTCTCACTCTCCATTCCCTGCTGTTTGCATCTTTGATGGGTCCAAAGATTCGTCGTAAAACGGCTTCATCTTTTTTAGTTGTGCTCCACGTTTCAGAGCCATGTAAAATGACTGGTCTTATCAATGTTTTATATATTTTGCTCTTGGTGTTGCGATACAGACATTTTAACTTTAGCAGATGTTGAAGGGCATAGTATACTTTATTTCCAGATTGTATTCTGTAATCTAGATAGTATTTCTTCTCTCAGCATGTTAGAGCAGTTGAAGTTTGCACCCAAGTTTCTGTTTCTATTCATTTGATTTTCATATTATCGACATATATGTGGCCGGAGTTTATATCCTTTCCCTGTCTAATTATTATCATGTATTCTGTCTTATTGATAACTAGTCCCATTTTCTGAGCTGATTATTTTAAGAGAGTCAGTGTTTTAACAGTCTCTAGTTCATTTTTTAAAGTGATATGAATGTCATCTGCATATCCAAGTATTCTTGTAGATTCTCCTTTGGTACACTCTTGTTTTAATTTCCTTATAATTTTCTCCAGGGCCAAGTTGAAATAAGTGGGGACAGAGCATCATCTTGCTTTAAATCAGATGTTATTTGAAATAATTTGATTCATCTATCAACATTTTAAATTAGTTTCCCCCTAATATCTAAAGATAAATCAAAGGGCTAATCAATAAACCAAACAAAGTGAAGCATTAAATGAAACACATTCTGGGGCCTAAAGAATATATATAAATATAAATATAAATATATATATATATGTACCAGGTGACTTATGCAGTAACCCGGTGATCTCTAACACTGAGGCTTAGGGGAAAATTTTTACACCAACTTGGCTTTAAAAAAGCCTTTGGGCCATAAGGAAACCTCTCCTAAATTCTATTTTTAGTTAATATTTTCACATCCTGGTCTGTTGAAAACTGTGCAGGTGCACACAGAACCAATGGAATTTAACTACACTCTTTGAGAATAGGTAACTACAAACAAGCCGATATATCAGCTTTTATGGGACTGTGTCACAAATAGAAGTGACTAGATTTAGTCTTATCAAGGTGACAATGTTGAATCTTTTTGACTTGTCCAGATGTTATATTAACTCATGCTGTACCACATTTTAATTGTAAGTTTTGCTGTCTAATATGGTTATTATTTAAACTCTTATATACATAGCCTTTATTTGTTTTAAGTTAAAAACTGCTTTGGATAAAACAAGTAAAAGTAACCAGTCTGGGATTGAAAGAGTTAAATGAACAATGCTGTTATGTATTAACTCAAGTTAGTAACAAGAGTGCCAGATGTCACTGAAAGTGAGAGTGCAAAAAATACCCAGGCCAATTGAAGTTTGTGAAGCAAGTTTTGAATGGAATTCTCAGATAAATGTGGATATCATAGGTTTTCAAGGAAGGTACTTTCTAAGGAAATATGGATGACAGTGGAAAGCATAGTGGCTTTTGCTAATTAGTTGCTTTCGGTCAGTGGAAAAAGTTGGAGCTGCGTGAGTTGTTTTAGCCCATTGGAGCATGTTGAAGCGTGTTAGTTATTTTAGTCTGTTGAAGTGCACAGGCTGTCTAGTAGAATTCGGTGCATTTAAATCTGGAATGCTGTCAATGTAGATACAGGAGAAGGGATAGCGAGATCCATGCATTTTATCTGACCATGGTATGTCTTTATTCATTATATTTCCATGAAATGTATGCCAAGTTGTGTGTCCAGCCGGCTGTTTTCCTAATCTACTGAGTGGCCCCAGGGGGTATATAGAAGTGCTGAAGTACATAGCGATCTGCAGGAGTTGGCAGGTAGCTGTAGGTGTCTTTGGTCATGGACTCCCACCAAGTTAAGCTGAGGAAAGGCTTGATAGAATGTTAAGCTTCGAAGTTATTTTTGCTTCCGATAGCGCTTTGCTAATGCAGTTTCCACATAAGGAGGCCAGTGTACGGTTTCGCTGCCTGAGCTACTGTGTTTAGTGCTTGGTTGAAGCCCTGTGTGCTGTTTTCTTCCTGTGGAATGCCTTTCATTTGTGCAGTGGTTTATGTTGTGGTGTTCAGTTTGGCTGGTAGCCGGTTTATGTATGTACAATAACCAACTTTTGTCCCCGACTACTTCCAACAATGACAAACTGCATTTCTAGTGGTTGTTGTAGGCTTTGATGCCTCTAGCAACAGAAATACACATTTACTATGCGCATTATTTCTGGATTGTTCTGCGACTAAATGTTTGCTCACTAGTTTTTCAAATGCGACAGTGAGGGACATTTTATTTGATTTACATTGGCACAGGAACGGAGCAAGTATGGGGAAACCGGACTGTGGTGAGGTTGAAACTTCGACTAAGATTCAGTCCAGGTGCTGCTTTTGAGACTTCTGGTGAGGGTACTTGGCAAAAATTAGCAGACAGACTGTGTTTATTAACTGATCACCAATTCATTATCATAATGTGTGAGTCCAATAATAAATCAGGCTGACTGCACTAGCAGAGACGGCTTCTAGGAGTATATTACAGTGCTGAATCCTCACAGCACTCTAGACAAATCCACAGTAGCTAAAATTTCCTCCCCAGTAGCCCGTCAACCGTAAAACCACTGCTGGTGCCTGTTATGAGTTTATTAATCAAATATCTTAGGCCCTTGGTGAAATGTTCATGTCTTGCAGCTCCAGTTTGAATCCCCATGTCCAACAGCCTGGAACGGGATACATATCATGTTTTTTTTGCTGTTCATCTTCACAGTTAAGTGCTGCTGATGGCTGCCATAGCAGCCGCTGTGTCTGCAAGATAATCTGCACACATGTTGCCTCGATACAAAGCCATGCACAAAGTGCTTAGTGGAGCAGTCCATGAACCCAACCTGGATTTTCCTGAACATTTTTACCTGAGTCACTTAGCATGCAGTATGTAAACTCTTAAATACCTAGCTATGATAATGCCAGTTTCCATAATGAGACTACTAGTTGTAACAGCACTGCACTATTCATCTCTTTAATGGGTTTTTCCTATTTAAGCTCACTGTGAACACCCATGCATTTCAACTACAGTATCACCTTCATCTGTGTTCTCATCAATTAGCATTCTGACTAAAGTGTCTGTTATGCAAGGAATCTGTTTTCTGCTGCATCTATTAAATGTGACATAGACTGTAACGTTAATGTTTTAAACTGTTTCCAAGTTTATTACAGCGCTTTATAAGTTATGATTTGGGTTATCTTCACGGCACTCTGGACATGTCTACAGGTGCCCAGATTTCCTCTTCAACATATACATCAGCCTCCCGTGGTTGACAGTCCCAGTCCTATGTTGGCTGACAAGACTTCTCATGTGTCCAGTGTGCTTCTCGTGCCTGGCTGTCCCGATCTTTACCAACAGTTCTTGCCCTCTTAGCAAAGATGTGGATGTGCTGCTCCCAAAATCCTTCGATCGTCCCACCTCTCTAATGGCACTAACAATGTCTGTATGATCCATGGGCCGGTCCTCTGTAACTAAGGCAGAGCTGGCTAATCTATCTATCAGCTCTTTCATTGCAACACTGGGGTACATAGATGAAGGTAACTCCACGCACAGTGTAAGGCAGTGCTGGTGGTTGTGATGCAGCTTCTGTTACACCTTTTAGTTGGACATGGTTCAATCATGGCATTCCTAATATCATCAGTCTCTTCCATCTGCTTGCTGCTGAAGTTGGGGATAGAGCGCTTATGAGAGTGTCCTGAGTAGTATGATGTAGATTCTTAAGTGAACATTCAACATTCAGTCCCTGTTTTTGAACAGGAAGCCAGCAGTCATTGTCGTGTGGAGTCGTATGTGTAATTAAATACTTCGCCAAGTATGCAATTCAATTCTTGCACACAACAGATACACATTAATAAAAGCAAACATCTTGACCAGAGTCCTCCTAATCAACAAACATTCCCTTCAGGTCAGAACTGAAACACCCGAAATATCTTCTTCTTCTTTTGTCTTTGCCCTTCAATTGAGTTTGGTGCACTGCGTCATGATTTACAGCTAGGCTGTGATATCAGCACATTTTGGTCTAACACATCAATTTCAGCAAATCCTTAATTAGTCAATGACATGCATATTATTTATTGTAGTTATACATCAAATGGACCAGGAAATGTTAAGGAATAATATTAGATACTGGTACAACAAACAATTATGTCAGTAGTTGAATATTATTAGTAAATAAATAGACAACAGGTTTACAGAAGTTAGTAAAACAAAAGAAAGAGAATTTTTCAACTTACATTCACGGTGCCTGAGGGAAACTTGATAAAATATCTCCAAAATGAACCATAAATGAATAAGAACCATTTAGTAATGTGCAAATAAAATATATGTATAGTCTGTTGATTAGATTTTATTCCAGAGAAATTTTTGGAATATCATGCTCCATCCTTGGTAGTAAGAGAGAGAGTTAAGGAGTAGTGGATCTTTACTTTTTTCCTCAGAAAAATGGGGCATCATACTCACGAAGGAAAAATATCCCAATTATAAATAAATAATCAATGTTTCAATGAATAATTTCAACAAAATACTAAGATTGGGTAAAGGAAAATAAGAGAAAGCAGAAAAGAGGGGTGTTTGGAAAATTTAGAAAGGAATGAAACAATCGCCTCACAATACCATTTTCTAAAAAATAAAATGCTACTTCAACATCTGTGAAGCACAGTAGAAAAAAAAACAATATTATGATGAGCCTTAAAAACAAACAATATTATGATAAGCCTTGAAAACAAACAATATTATGATAAGCCTTGAAAACAAACAATATTATGATAAGCCTTAGAAACAAAGAATATTATGATAAGCCTTGAAAACAAACAATATTATGATAAGCCTTGAAAACAAACAATATTATGATAAGCCTTGAAAACAAACAATATTATGATAAGCCTTGAAAACAAACAATATTATGATAAGCCTTGAAAACAAACAATATTATGATAAGCCTTTAAAACAAACAATATTATGATAAGCCTTTAAAACAAACAATATTATGATAAGCCTTTAAAACAAACAATATTATGATAAGCCTTGAAAACAAACAATATTATGATAAGCCTTTAAAACAAACAATATTATGATAAGCCTTTAAAACAAACAATATTATGATAAGCCTTTAAAACAAACAATATTATGATAAGCCTTTAAAACAAACAATATTATGAGGAGCCATGCACTAATGAAAATGTCTAATTAATTGTAGGTAAACTTTACTTTTCCTACTTCTACAACAGCGTAAATATTCAGATTTAAAAAAAAAAAAACATTTGAGCACTTCCATTTTTTGCCCTTACTGGAAAAAGTTGGGTATTCAATCCCTTCTCCAGTTAGGGCGGGATCAAAATACAAGGATCTTTATAAAATACCTCATTGGAAAATGACCTCAGCCACACTCACAACTGACAATTTTGTTATATAAATGTAGACACTGTATCTACAAACACCTCTGTAACATACGCCTACGAGAGTATATGTAGTCTCTTTCTGCTTTATGTGCATGCAGGTTTTATGTGTGCATGTATAAGCAGGCACACTTATGAATGGGTGTGTGTCATATGAATGGGTAGGTATGCATCAAGTGTGTGTGTGTGTGTGTTTGTGTTTGTCGCGTGTGTGCCTGTGTGTATGCATGCATGTATGTGTGTGTGCATATAAGCATGTGTATTGTGTGTGTGCATATAAGCGTGTGTATTGTGTGCGCGCATGTGTATTCGTGCGTGTGCAAGTTTGTGTGTGTGTGGATGGATGAATGATGGATGAGTGAAAAAATGTAAGCATCTGCATTCATGATTTTGTGTTTATGTTAATATTATGAAAATTGATATAAACTTAACATGCTTTATAGATAACAAACAACTACTCTGTAAGTGTTTAGGAGGGTTGAATGCAAGATTGGCCTGCGTGCCCAATTAAAGACCCCTTGAAAAAGAAAGGTTTTTTTTCCCCCCCCCCCCCCCCCCCCCCCCCCCACCCCAACCGCTGCAAACAAGCACACTCACAGACACACACAAATACACACCTTGATGAAGGCATCAATGTCCCCGACTGCAGGAATATAGTCTGGTATGAATGGCTTCAATTTATGATCCAACTCAATAACCTGAGGTGTGTACCTAAAATTATTATACAGTGTAAACTTCACTTGTGACACAGAAATACAATTAACCATTTATGACAAAAAACTATAACAACTGAGTTTAATTTATGTCACATAAATTTTAATTTACCTAACAGAAATAGAATAAACATTGCTAATTTATGCCGCAGAAAAAAAAAGGATTTTTTTTTTCATCCACTTCTGTGATTGCCTCCATCCAACAAGACACCTGATCACTTCATAATAACAGGGTTTCTACTAAGATTAATTGATCATACAGTATTTGTTCTGGTGATTTATTAATATCCTACCCCAAACAAAGGGAAATCCACAGGTTACGGACAGTCTAATATTTCAGGGGGTGGTAGATAGGCTGCATGCAGTCATAGGATGTAGGTGGGTTGGGGTAGGGCCAGTTTGAGATGTTTTGGGGTCGTCAAAAGCATCAGAAAGCAGGGAAACGCAGTCTTACCAAACTCTAAAATATTGAACTGTCCTGTGACGTCATCGGGAGTCATCATCATCAGGTGCTTTGCTGACTGGCGTGGGCGATCATGCCTCTCCATAATCTGCGATCTCCTGCAGCATGTATCAGTTCGTGTGCCGACACACCTCCATGCCATGCAACAAGACTGTCAAGCATCTTCTCTCGTAGTCTTCCTCTATCCCTCCTTCCACAGATCTTTTCAGTGGTCACAACATGTTCTATTTTCCCTCTTCTTATAACATGGCCGAAAAATGATGACTGTCTCCTTCTGATGTCTGTGATAAGTTGACTTCGGGCTCCCGCCTCTTTCAAAACCTCTTGGTTGCTCTTTTTGGCTGTCCAAGGTATTCTAAGCAATCTTCTGTAAAACCACATCTCTGAGGCCTCTAGAAATTGTTTGTCCTGCCTACCAATTGTGCAGGATTCACAGCCATATGTTAAAACTGGATGTATGTAGCAAGCAAGAATTCTTTTTCTAACTCTCAATGACAAGGATATATTGCACAAGATGTTTTTCAATTTATAAAATGCATCGGTAGTAGAATAACAATAAAGAACCTTTGTTCCTGTTGCACTGGCATGAAAAAAGTTACTCTTTGAGTCACAGGTACAAACTAATAGGCTGCAGTTCTAGAAGGTATTGGGGTGGGGGTGGTCTTTTAAATGGATTCAACTATAAAATAATAATAACTCAATAAATTAATTAAAGAATAAAGAGATAAGATTTAACCCTGTTGCCCAAGAAGCCGAAAAACTGACACTTCCAGGTGGGCCCAATTCCCAGTAAATGTCACTTTTCCGACTTGTCTGTAGTGACCTGTTTACAAGACGATCTGCAAGTGTTATTGACTGAGTGTGTCTTCGTAACATATTGGCTAAAAACAACATTTAATGGGGTTTTCCTTCAAACCAGATGTTTGGTTTTTTTTTTAAAGCCAAGCTGGTGTCAAATGTTTCCAGGCACATCAGGGGTAGAGGTCATGACACGAGTCACCTGATAAATATATTTTCACAGCCCTAGGAAATGTAATCCATTTAATGCTTTACTCTGTGTTTATTGAATACGCCCATAATACATCTTTATATAGTCTTTCTCTCTTTCTCCCTATGTCCTCTTTTACCGCCTCGGGTGTCGAGGGAGATATAAGGTCCTGCTTCGTGCTCTTCTGGCTGCCTCGACCATAGACACATCGTGGTGCTGCAGAGTTTTTCTGATGTTATCTTCCCACTTGTTTTTGGTCTACCTCTTGCTCTACGTCCTTCTCCTCTTTAGGTATATGCTCTGTATGGTATGTTATCAGGAGGCATTCTCTCCAAGTGAGCAAACTATTTGATTTGCTGTCTTTGTATGTAATTTAGAATTGATTCTGTGCTGACTTTATCTCGTTTGACCCCATTCCTGATTTTATCTCTTCTGGTCACTCCAACAGTCTTTCTCAAACACCTCATTTCCATGGTTACTAATTTTCTTTTATGTTCTATGAGTGACCACGTCTGGCACTGGTAGCATAGGGTAGGAATGAATATGCTTTGTATGAGATTTTTCTTTGTGCTGATTGGGATTGCCTTATGCTGAAAGAGGGGGACCAGCTGTCCCAATGCTAGGCCTGATTTACTGCTTCGGATGTCAATTTCTTCATCTATTTTACTATTATTACTTTATGTAGTCAGGAGTTGGGGGGGGGGATGGAGGGGGGGGGGGGATATTTAAATATTAACGTACAATTATTTATTTTTTTTTCAAACTATTAGTGACCTGTGTAAAACTTGTTTTTATAAAGGATTTTTAAAGAGAATTTCCAAGGGGTCATAGCCCATATTTTGTTTAGCCTTACAGGGTCAAAAGGATTAGGGTTAACAAAAATGCAATTAAACATATGTATTGGAGTTCATTTGAAAACACTGAAATATAAACAAACAAAACAGGTAGAACTTGGACAAGTGGTTTTGGCAATGAATAGCATGAGTGAGTTCCTTGGAACTTCAGAACAAATACCTTAGACTTTCAGAACATATACCTTAGACTTTCAGAACATATACCTTAGACTTTCAGAACGTATACCTTGTATTAACAGAACATATACCTTAGACTTTCAGAACATATACCTTAGACTTTCAGAACATATACCTTGTATTAACAGAACATATACCTTAGACTTTCAGAACATATACCTTAGACTTTCAGAACATATACCTTAGACTTTCAGAACGTATACCTTAGACTTTCAGAACATATACCTTGTATTAACAGAACATATACCTTAGACTTTCAGAACATATACCTTAGACTTTCAGAACATATACCTTGTATTAACAGAACATATACCTTAGACTTTCAGAACATATACCTTAGACTTTCAGAACATATACCTTAGACTTTCAGAACATATACCTTAGACTTTCAGAACGTATACCTTAGACTTTCAGAACATATACCTTGTACTAACAGAACATATACCTTGTACTAACAGAACATATACCTTGGACTTTCAGAACATATACCTTAGACTTTCAGAACATATACCTTAGACTTTCAGAACGTATACCTTAGACTTTCAGAACGTATACCTTAGACTTTCAGAACATATACCTTGTACTAACAGAACATATACCTTGTACTAACAGAACATATACCTTAGACTTTCAGAACATATACCTTAGACTTTCAGAACATATACCTTGTACTAACAGAACATAGACCTTAGACTAACAGAACCTTGGACTTTCAGAACAAGAAAATGTTACAGACCTAAACAAGTCAACAGTTGAACCCTCTATACGACAACAGTCTGTCTTGTCATAAGCTCTCTGAAAACAGGCACACACAGTGTTAACTAATGCTTACCTAGTGATGTACTGGAACAGATCCTTGATGTCCGAAGACACTGCCAAATTCTCGTAATCACTTGGATCATATGCACTGCCAAATAAACACATAGCTACTTAAAAAGAGAAGAAAAGAACAGATAAAACAAAAGTGGCTCAGAAAACCCACCTACCCTGGACCACAGGTTACTTGGGAACCATTTTGTGGTGCCCTAATTTAGCTGTCCTATATAGTTGAATGGCAGCCATTGTGGTGTAGAGGCTAGACACTCGCCTACGGATCGGAAGGTCATGAGTTCAGATCCTGATGGAGATATACTTTTTTTTTGGTTCTCAAGTCTACCTAGCCTTAAATGGGTACCAGGTAAAGTTCTAGGAAATAAAAGTGGCCAGATTAATGTTGACCAAATTACCCACAGAGTAACAACTGGTCTATCAAATATAGATTTAGCCCTATATGCCCCATACACCTGGAGGTGTGGAAAATAGGAGGATATGGTTGAATTGGGTTTCCAGGATTTGTAGCTGTCTGATTCTCATCCTTAAGATGTTAATACCGTAGAACGGAAATCTGGAGGGGTTAAAAAAAAAATAAAGACGTAAAATCTCAGATTTGAAAATATATGTTTTTAAAAAAAATTTATTTTAAGCCAAGCTGACATCAACAGATAAATGGAAACAATACCGGCTGTATTTGTTTTCGAGGCTATATCGCAGAAATAGTCCTGATATCTCATGAATTTATTGTGGAAAATTCTTTTTGAAGTGAAGTGGTCTTGCTGGTTATACTCGCCATCAGCACAGGTTGTGATTTCCATGCTTTTCTATCGCACAGCAAGGCTGGGATTTTTTCATGTGGACTTTTTGTAATTTCCCCTTGTCACTGGGTAGTAAGACTGGACGCCTGAGTGTATTATTGCGCACGTGAAAAAAAAATCTCCTGGCAGCTGGAAATTTAAAAGAGTAGCCTGATGGGGCTGCCTGGGCAAAATGTGGAGTTACAAATCTACCCAAAGTATTTCAGGATCCTTGCCGGTGCAATGGAGTTCGTGCACTGGGCTGAGATTCTTCGAATTAAGGCTTGAGTTAGAAGTAGAACGGAGCACTTATGGGTTACATCCGTGTGCCATGATGTTGATCCGTCAAATAAACATAAAACATAAGCCGCAAAACATAACACCATCATTTGGGAAGACAGAGAGGCATCAACCAGTATCACAAAAATACTAACCCTTCGACTCGTTGGTGCTCATCATCGTCATCATCTTCATCATCATCATCATCTTCATCACTGTCATCATCATCAGAATTGAACCGCTGGCCTGGTTTTGAGGGCTAATGTACAGATAATGTTTATTAGAATTTTATATACTCGAGTTTAATAGAATTCTAATTTTATATACAAAATTTGTATTTATCATCATCATGTGCCCTGCCAATTTGCGTAGGCGCTCATGCATCTCCACAGATCATGATCTCTGGTTGCCTGGAGTAGCTCTCTTGATGATATCCTTCCATGCCATCATTTTAGCCCATCCAGCATCATCTCTCTTGGTCTGCCTCTATCCCTCTTTCCACTGATCTTTCTAGTTGTCCCAATGTTCTACAATATCTCTCTTCTCATTATGTGAGCAAAGAAAAAGTTTGCATTAGAATTCCATATTTAAAAAAAGCAACAAGTAAAGGATGTGTTTTCACACTCTGAGGAATACTGGGTATATGGTGATAGCTCTAATGAGCTAATGCAAATGCTCAACTGACACTTAAACTCTGCCGCCCCCCTCGAACTCACCTACGCACTTTTACGTTTGTTTTGATGGCATGACATCTCTGAGCAGTGGCCAAAAGGCCTATATAACAGCCTTAGTACTGGTTGCAACAGCATAGTTTGTAGACGTGGTGGGTGCGATTATATTTAAAAGGCAAAATGTGCTGATATTATTTCCGGGGGGGGGGGGGGGGGGGGGGGGGGGGGGCCAAATCATCTTTTTTTTTTTGTTGGTCACTGTGACATCACAATGAGCTTATATGAAATCTTTTTGCTCTCTCTGGCTGTGTCGACAAAACCCAGCTGTCTTGGTCAGAAGGAAGAAAAAGCAGTTATTTCTCTACTCCGTTTGCATTTAGTGATTACTTTACTTCACATATAACCCTGTAGCTGACATGCAAATTCATAGAGGCAACCCACCTGGTGGTCTGATCTGAGCATTTGAAATCGAACGCAAAGAAGAAGAAGAAGAAGAAGAAGAAGAAGAAGAAAAAGAAGAAATAACGATGCATTTCATTTTAACATCATTTTGAGTTTTACTATTTTTATGAGGTGAAAAGAATGATGGGGTATGTAGCCTTTACTTCCCAAAATATTTTGTGGTAATTATTATTAGGTTAATTTGACCTGGGAGTCCAGGTCATTTACAAAATCTGCCTTGATGGGGATTCAGCAGGCTGTCCAATAAGTTTCCATGCATAAGGAAAAAAAAACATTTTAAAAAAATGAAAACCATGTTTTTTTAAAAACATAATATGCTCTACTTGCATAGCATTGTTTTGAAAACACATTTTAATGTCTACTGGAGTTTTCTTTAGTGTTACTGCAGAACACATATGAGGGAATCTGGAGTTATGATTGTAAAGGCATTGGTGATGTGTGTATTTAACTTATGTAAGGAGCACACTGTATGACCACCACCCCAATAGACAAGTGTGCTAGCCACTGCACCACAGAAGCTACTGAACTCAAATTTACCCAAGTATGTAAGACTGTAGGGCCATGTAAAGCTTTAGAACCAGAATTCAGATTACATTGGGAAAAAAAAAGATTTGAAGGCAAGAGGGTTGACTTTATTGTGCAATGTTTCATCATGTATGGCTCGGTCTCTCTCTGCTGAATGGCTGGCCACCTGTTGAGAACACTGTAGACAGCAAAAATCCCCATGTGATAAGCTGAGTTGAATTAAGAATTGACATCACAGCGCTCGGGGCATTCCCATGTGAGCCTCGTCCTCATCTTCAGCAGCCAGCGCAGAGTTCCAATACTGATGGTACTGGTCACAGTCTGGTTATATGTCTGTCTTGCTTTTCCTCTGAGTGTAATGAGCCGGCCAGACCCTCTGGTTACACCCAGGTGCATCATTCTCTCCAGGGCATAATAATCTTGTTTCTCTACTGATTCCGTTGCTTGTTTCCAAAGGGGCTTCCTGTGTGATGATCCTCAGGGATCTAGGCAAACATTTGACTGTTGAACTGAATGGGATGTAGTGGTTCTTTGCTGTTTGTGGAAGTGCCCCAGGACCAAGACTCAAGCCATTTGAGAACTGTCTACAGCTCTCCATGGTCATTCTAGAAAACATTCAGAATCAGGGGCCTGGCCAGCATTGACAGGATCAAACTTTTTTTTCAAAGTCTGTCCGAAAGGGGGTGACCAACAGTCTGCACACATAAACAACATCTGTAAAATGGATGTGCATGCAACACTCAAGTCTTGGAACAAGACTGCAGTCCAGAAGAAGTGGATGAACTACCAGGACTTTCTGACACTTATTTCTCTTTTCTGCTGTTTATTCTGGCTTTTCCACAGTTGTCAGAACAAAAACATAAATAATGCTAGATAAAGACCATACTTTGAGATGAGTCCATTGTTAACAGAATATTTGTCCAAGCTCTCAACTGACCAAGCCCTCCCTCCCTCCCCACCCCTAAAGTGTAAAAGCATTAATGCTTAACAATTTAAATTGGAATAAAACTTTTTCTTCTGCACTTGTCCTTAAAATAGCAGTTCAGACATTGGGTTGTGGTTTAAAGCTAGGGTGTGACATTTGTACTTTTAGTCAAATACATCCAGTTTTACCAAACCCCTAATTTGTAGCTATTTACAACATGCTTGTTGAAGAGCAGTGGGTCTTTCCATCCCCCCCCCCCCCAAGGGCAATAATAAAATGGAATACAAAGAAAGATGCTTTATTAATATTCTACACCAAAAAGGGGGACCTAGGTTGCATGCAGTCGTGGGACCTAGGCTGCACTATCTTGTGGGACGTAGGTGGGTTTGGGTTAGGGCCAGTTCTAGATGTTTTGGGGTCTTTAAAAGCATCAGAAAGCCAGGAAACCCAGTCTTACCACTCTCTAAAATGTTGGACTGTCCTGTGGCGTCATCTGGAGAAGGTTATTAATAAAGAACCCTAAGAAAAAACAGCAACATTGGTAACCCAAACCCCCACCTGTAAACTGGCTGGCTTGTTGGCTCGAGCCTGAAGCTTGGTCTTGTCAGTTGGCAGCATGCTAGTACTCTCATCATACAAATACTCAGACTGATCAGACTGGTCACCACTAGAACCTGGTGGTGTTTCACCGCGGCTCAAGTGATCTCCTGTGGTGAAGATGTTAACAGGTCAATACTAACTGACGTAAATGCATTGTGCTGTTTACAGCATAGCAACAATATTAATGCAGAAAAGTGTTGGATACTGAGGGACATTAATATGCATGTTAAGATGTTTATTAACGCCCCTGAAAGAAAACCCACATCACCTTACTGGGGATTTGAACCCAGGTCACCTGCATGAAAGCATAGCATTCTCAACAGTTGGCCAGCTGCTCCTAAAAATCAATAATACAAACATCAGATAACAAAAATACAACTATGAAACATACAAGACCAGGTAATGAAAATACAACTATGAAACAAATAAGACCAGATAATGAAAATAAAACTATGAAACAAACAAACTGCACAAAATTCATCAGTGTCAGAACTTAAAAAGAAATGAAGGTTTGAGGTTTAACAGTGACAGAAGTGAAACAAGCTGACTGATGCTCTATATTAGACAACAGTCTTTGTTACCTTTCTTCCCTTCTGTAAGGACTCCAAGAGATTCCTTGCCTTTCACTCCTGACAAGATGCAGGAAAATAAACAAGTAAATGGTTCAATCTCAGTATAAACTCTATTGCTCTAGAAGAAAGTTGATAGTGCTGACTACAAAGTTTCTATTAAATAGTGCTGAAAAAATGCTTTTAAAAAAATACTGTCGGTACTGCATCTTGTTGTGTATCACTAGAATAAAACTAAAAACCCTGTCTATTTTACATGAAAAGAGGCTAACACAACAATGCTAAATTTAATGCAAGGCAGTAATTATGACTCATTCAGAATATTTAAACAAATTATGTTTGAGAGTCAGATTATTTTTTTTTTTTAATTAATATTTAGTACATTTCTTTTACAGTTACATAATAAAAGGGTTAACCAAAGTTTGGTGTAAGGTCTCTTTCTCTCTCTCTCTCTCTCTCTCTCTATATATATATATATATATATATATATATATATATATATATATATATATATATATATATATATTTATATATATTTAAAGGTTATTTCTAAATGTGAGGGTGCCATGGTGCTGTCGTGGTTAAATGCTCATCTGCCAGCTGGGAGATCTTCAGTCTAAATCCTCTTCTATAATCGGCGTCAAAAATATTCTTGGCATCTAAATGGGATCAACTTTATAACTTGTTGTTTGCCAGGTGGTCCGTCTTTTCTTTGCATCCCCCAGCTGTTAATTGAAGTGGAATGTTCTTTTTTTCACTTCTGAACTTAAGTCATGTTCTGGAAGGTAAGTTTCAGTGCATGTCTGTTTTACAGATCTGGCTTATTTGCATGCAGACTGTTGGTCTGGAAGGAAACACCCCTAAATAGTCAATTCTTACAACATGCTTGTTAGGGATACTGTGGGTATATTTGCATTTTTTCCCATTAATGCTGCCCCTGGGATCTACCCAGTTGGTCTTTAAAAATATAAGGTTAAGAAAAGTCAAAAGGGACTGGGCATAGTTATCCTCAGTTCAAACAGTATTACTACATTCAGGCCTGCTAACCTGAAGGTAAAGAGTTCAAATCAGCATGGAGCCAGATATTATATCTTTCTAATGACCTTGACTCCATATGCTAGCCTAAAATGGGTTCCAGGCAAAGTCCTGGGAGGTAAGGGCGGCCGGAGTAATGCTGACCAAATCACCCATCGAGTTTGACCAGTGCACCGAAGACATAAAAAGGGTCTTTAAGGTATTTTACTTTTTTTTTTAAATATTCAGACCATTCTTTTCCATGTTTACTGTCTGCAAACTGCAACATAAAGATCTGGTTGTTCGTCCACTTCTAGACTCTAGTCCTGTTCCAGAACCTGAGTTTGCATACACATCCATTTAAAGATCTGACTCATGTGTATGCAGTCTGTTGCTTCCTGGTGTCTCAGGCAGATGCACTACGACCGCGAAGGAAGCTCCCTATAAGTCCACACTTATGACATTCTTTTGGGTAGGCAGTGGGTCGGTTTTTGTTTTCTCCACAATGGGACCCCGTAACCCACATGGAGAATTAAGAACACATAACATCATCTTATTTCAACAGCCCTAAGAGTTTCCCACAAAATGAAATAATTGTTTATTTACAGGCTTTCAGGTTCAGACTATTTTAAATGTTCTTGTGCTAGTCCACAAGGTGCAGATAACACAGTCTAGCTGTAAACTACACTACCACATGCCAAATACCTTTTTAAAGACAACAGAAGCAAAAGCAGAAGGAGATGAAGCAGCTGCAGCAGAAGAAGAAGAAGCAGGAGGAAGAGGAAGCAAAGAAGAAGAAACTGTTCTCCCTGTTCAAGAATTATAAATCCTTACACCTGATTCTGAAAGTATACTAAAAAACACACAAAATAAGAATCCCACAAAAATCTACCCCCTACCCCCACCCAAAAAAAAACACAAAAAAAACATGAGCATCATCATCACAATAAAAAAGGAAGAAAATGACAATGACAGTTTAATATACCTCCCGGCTTCTGTACTCTGGGAGTAGGGGAGTAAGTGCTAGCAATTTCCTCAGCATCTGGCACCTCCAGTGACTCATCATAAGGTTGATTCTGATGAAGGCGGGACTGAAACCACAAGTGTCATATTGTTAAAACAGATACAATACCTAATGTTGAATAGAAAAAAGAAGGGTTAAAAAGGCATCTGCCACTTTGTGCTGTGGTTTACAGCTAGACTGCAATATCTATACCTTTCTGCTTGGTTTACAGCTAGACTGCAATATCTATACCTTTCTGCTTGGTTTACAGCTAGACTGCAGTATCTATATCTTTCTGCTTGGTTTACAGCTAGACTGCAATATCTATACCTTTCTGCTTGGTTTACAGCTAGACTGCAATATCTATACCTTTCTGCTTGGTTTACAGCTAGACTGCAGTATCTATACCTTTCTGCTGTGGTTTACAGCTAGACTGCAATATCTATACCTTTCTGCTTGGTTTACAGCTAGACTGCAGTATCTATACCTTTCTGCCAGCCCAACACTCCAATTTCAGCAGCCCCTAAGTTGTTGCCTTTTATCATATGCTTGTTAAAATATAAAATGAAGTATAAAAACGTAAAGGACTCTTTTTCCCGCCTTTAGGCGTATAGGGCATATAGGACTAGACCTATATTTTTATAGACCAACCGGCCCAAGATGGGTGATGTGGTCAGCATCATAATGGCCGCCTTTACTTTCCGGGACTGCACCGGGTACCTACTCAAGAAGGCAGGGAGCCAAGGTCAATTTTGAAAAAAGTCCAGCTCCGCCAGGGAGTGAACCCATGACCTTCCATTCCGCACGTGAGCGTCTAGCCGCGTCTATGCCACAACGACTCTCGCTAGTTAAGGTACAGTTTATCTATCCTGATTCCATGAGGTTTGGAGTACAGACATATATCATCTTGCCTCTGAATCTGTAAACTATTCTCAGAAATACCAGACCAGAGGAAATAATAAAAATGTGGCAGCTTTTTAAGCTCAGAGTCTAAAACAGACAAATCAGAAAAGACCCTGAACTGGATCACTGCTCCCACCGAACGAGAACATTCTGTGCTAAGACTGGTCTTGTCAGTTACCAATGTGCTAATTAACTCCAATCAAATTTAGTGTACGTGTTCCGACCCCATTATTCTTGACCCCAAATGGAGTTACAAAGGATTTTCTGTGGGGTCACAATGACAATTAAAAACGGGAGAAAATCATGTCACTGAATTCTGCAGAGATCTGTTTGTGAAATATAGGTGTTGCTAAGCTTGTGATTGGTTAATTTTTAGTGATATATGCCAGCTAAATGCCTAGCTTGCTATGCTTGTGATTGGTAAATTTATAGTGATATATGCCAGCTGAATGCCTAGCTTGCTAAGCTTGTGATTGGTAAATTTATAGTGATGTATGCCAGCTGAATGCCTAGCTTGCTATGCTTGTGATTGGTAAATTTTTTGTGATATATGCCAGCTGAATGTCTAGCCTAGTTTTTTTTTGAGCAGCATCCGTTTTTCTTTAATATTTGTTTTTGTTGTGCCTGTTGACGAGTTATACAGAAAAATATTTTGTCGAATGTATTTTCATTTACCCCATTAAGAAGCCTATGGGATTGTGGATCACTTTAGCTCTATAAAATTGGGTTGTGACCTGAAAAAAATTTGGAAACCACTGACTTAGAGCGTTTGAAAAATATGATCACCATCGCTTATGATAGATGCACAAAATAAAACTACATTTTCTATGTGTTTTGACTGCAGTGTTTATTTTTGCCAACTTACTATCCAATGTTAAAACTCTTGTAGTATAGCAGCTAGGTGCTAGCCTGCCAGCCAGAGATTTTGGGTTTGAATCTGCATCAAGTCATATTAATGACAAATCTGATCTTGGTAATCACAGCCCATAGTAAGATGAATGTGACTGGTGAGACCTGCTCATATTAACTCATTGAGTCCCAGGGGGTTTAGCATCACAGGCGCAAGGGGTAGTCAAGAAAGACTTAAAATTGGCACATCATGCGTTCATTGGGCCTCTAGGTAGGAATCTATGAATGTATGATGCGTTCCTTGGGACTCAAAGAGTTAAGAAAGGTCTTCCACATTTAAGAGCATGGGATTTAAGGAAAATATTTATCATCACATGATTTTAATAAGCTTCTTCTCCGATGCTCAGCTTTAAACTTAGCTGTAATATTTTCTCCTTTATCCCCACTCCTTTCTTCTTTCCCCATTCATGCAACACGGTCCATGGCATCCTGCCCCCACAATCCACCTCAATATCAGAATCAATCATGTCCCACTCGCATACATAGCAGAGGCTGACCTCAGTATCTTCTACCCATATGTAACTATCCACTGAGGATGCTCTGAGGGACTCTACCATCCTCCAAGTGTGACTTACCCATCTGACCCTTTGAAGACTCAGCATTGAGAAAACTCTCTCCAATACCTGAGTGTTTGTGACCCTGTCTGGTTACTTAATGCTGAGTATTTTTTTGTAGGCATCTTATGTGGCAAAAAAAACTTTTTTTTGTTTTTTTTTAAATTTAAATGACCTTGGCTCCCAAATCAATCCAACCTTTAATGGGTACCAGCTAAAGTCCTCAGAAGTAAAATGGGCTGGCACAATGTTGGTCTACAAAAGATAGGTCTAGCCCTATATGCCCAATACGCCTGAAGGTGTGGAAAAGGGCCCCTTATTATCTTAACTGAAAGCTATTTATCCATTTTTCCCCCTTGTATGAATGTCAACAAAATATTATTAACATAAATAAGAGTGTTAAGAAAACAAGCTAAGAGACAAAGGTGTACCCAGAAAAAAGTGTAGTGTTTTGTATCTTCTATGCTTGTTCAGAGTGTACTCGAGAAAAAAAAAAGGGAAATCTGGCAAGAAAATTCTCCCCATGGCAAAATGGCTATTGCTCCTTTAAAGTAATACACTTTTGCTTTTTTATGGTGATTATGGTCTCTTTTAGGAATTACCTGTGAAATCCGGTATAGAAAGAAAGAAGTTATGACACCAAGATGCTTTTGAAGGTTTTGAACAACAGATCAACATCATGGCACACGGTTAGTAACCCATAAGTGCTCCGTTCTTTTTCTAACTCAAGTCTGAGTCTGAAGAAGCTCAGCACAGTGCACAGGCTCTGTAGCACCGACAAGGATCCTGAAATACTTTGGGTAGATTTTAAACTCCAAATTTTGTCCGGCAGCGGCGTTAGGCTACTCTTTGCCCAACAATGCACACAGGTCTCCGATCTCACAACCCAGAGACCAGAATTATTAGAAGTCCAAGTCGTCATGAAAAAATCCCAGCCCTTACCGGGGGTTGAACCCGTAACCTCTAGCTCTCGAGGCGGACACCATGCCCCAAGACCACGCAGCCCCCTGACACCAAGATGTGACTTAAAAAACAAATCATATGTCTAATTAGAGAATAATTAAAGTATTCAAAATTATCTAGTTTTAAAATCTAAACAATTAAGGCTGTGTTAGCGGTAAACCAGAATGCCAACAGAAATTCATTTTTCACAATTACGCACCAAGTAATATGCAATTTGTGTAAAACTTCAGGATACTTCCAGTAAAAGATATATTAAAAACAATGCTATGCCTGGCAAATGTCCATACAGATTATTAACCACTAGAAAATATGTCAAAATTCATTGTGATTATTACTGAGGTAAGTGTTGCTTAATTCAAAAACACACAAACTTAACAACAAAATCAATGGGAAAGTGATAATTCAACAGCACTAAAAATTGTTTTTTTTTTAAAGGCAAAAAAAAAAAAAATAAACATACAAAATGAAAACAGAAGGTTGCAACAATACAAACAATATTTATCTTACACACACAAACAAAAAAAGTATGGTAATCAACAGGAATTAATAAACTTCAAGACTACAATTAAAATATTCACATTATTTATGTGATAGTGCAGAGATAATATAACAGTAAATAAAAATATTATCGATACAATGATAGTTTACTTTTATTTGCTTTCTCCTGCCTTTTAATTTATTACTGAAAAGCTAAATAGGCTGTTGATAACTAAGTGAGCTGTATGAATCAGTGGATGGTATGTCATTAGTTGAGGTCTTAACTTCACTGCATGGGGGTCATCCATAAATGCCCTGTTTCTGTACAAGTTAAAACCACACAAAACGTCTTTCACTGACCCATTCAAAAACTAGTTTAAACAAAAACACAAAATTAGATTTATCAACATATTTAATTATTTTTCCTCAAAAATATATAATGATATATGAAAGTAGTAACCAATAAACATGAACAGGATGAAGCATTGTTTGTAATATATACCCCCTCTTTTCTCAAGGCCTTGAAAAGAACACCTATGGAGTGACTCTTGCTGTGACCCCATGACCTCCACCGCTGAGCCTTACAGAAAACTTTGATGTCAACTTGGCACTAGAAGAGCCATTTAATTCAAAGAAAGCCTCTTGTCAGTTAATGTATTCATATCTTGACCTCCCTAACATGTACACAAGTGTGAAAACAGCCAGTAGCACTAACTATGCATCTCTTAAACAGGTCCTATAGACAAGTCAGGAAAGTGACATTAAAGGGGAACTGGACCCAACAGGAAGTGTCAGTTTTTTTTTCCAGCTTATCTGGTGAATAGGTTGAGCTGTAACTTTTATCCACAATTTCAGTATCAATTCTACAGTCTGCACTGTACTGCAAGATCATTTCTATGGACAAACAATTAACTACAGAAATGAAAAATAGCACAATGGGAGAAAACTCAATCATTAACAAGGAAATAAATTATTCTGTCATTATCTGGGGTAAAATATAGAATTCCTAATTAACAGTATTAATAAACTAACAAACACAATACTGACTTGCATATCTGCTAAGCAGCCCTGAAAAAAGGAGGTAAATAGGTGCTATTAAATCATATCAAAAACATCTGATTTGTTATATTAACTCTTTGAGTCCCAAGGAACGCACCATACGTTCAGTTTACTGCCCAATGAACACATAATGCACCAGTTTTACATCTCTCTTGACTACCTCTTGGGCCTGTGATGATAAACCCTCTAGGACTCAAAGAGTTAAACCATATAATGATCATTTGTTATGTTTTAGTCAACAAAATGTGACACATTTTTATTAGGGTATGAGGGGATAGTTGTTTTCTGTGTGCTTGTACACCCAACATGATTTTATATATTTTTTTAATCTATTCTTCATGGGCTGATCGTTGCATACAACATGGAAAATGCACCAATTTACACTTTTAATACGTAATAGGTAACAGATAAGCAATGTAAGTGATCTGTGAATATTTTGACCAAATAAGGTCATACATAAAGAACTGAGGAGGAAAACAAAATGTTCATTACTGGCAAAAAGTATCGGCTATCCTCCGAATAACGGTCCTAAATTATTGAGGCGGAAAATATACCCTCACAGGGCCTCAGTCACGTGTCAAGTGCGCACTTTGGGGGACTATAGGGCCACCGCCGAATTGTGAACGTTAGCGGCGTGGGGGACACGTGGCAGTGGCGGTAGTTGCCGGAAAACCGCAGATTAAGTCACCGGAAGTGCGCAATTGACACGTGACTGCGGCTCGAAAGGATATTTTGCGGCCGCCATCTTTAGTGCCCGTTATTTGGAGGATAGCCAAACAGACACTAACAAATATTACAATCAGGTAAACACTGATCAATATCCATGGTGAGAAAAGAGGAAAACTGTTTACCCCAAATATAACCCAGTAAAAAAGGGTTGAACAAGATATTGTTAATTAAATCGTTCTGTACCGTACCAAACAACACGTAATACGTTCATTTGTTATAGTCCAGAAACACTATAACCTATATACTGTCATATTCTAACTCCTTCATAATCAGACAGCTTAATAAAAAAAAGCAAAAAGTCGGCTCTCCTTTAAATAGCGGTTGCTAGCTGGAAGGCGACGGCCGCTTAGTCGGAGTTCACTCCCTTGGCTGCAGTGCAATTATGGAGCGGACAAGTCACGAATCAAAAAACAAAGTGAGGTCGACATGCCTGCTAGAGCTAGACCACGCGCTGCGACTGACAGTAGCGACCGCGGTCTCGCGACGCAAGACTCTCGTAGACCACGCGCTGCGACTGACAGTAGCGACCGCGATCTTGTGACGCAAGACCCTCGTAGACCACGTGCTGCGACTCACATAAGCCACCGCGTTCTTCCGACGCACGAATTAGTGACCGTAGATGTGAGGCCTGCGGATCTGTATGTCGTAATGAGCGATAAGCTTCCGTCGTTTCCGTGATGTGTCACCCTAACCCTACCCCTAACCCAACCCCTAACCCAAACTCTAATCTTACGCCAAACCCTACCCCTACCCCTAACCCAAGATCTAAGCCTAACCCTACCCCTAACCCAAACCCTAACCCAAACTCTAACCTTACACCAAACCCTACCCCTACGCCTAACCCAAGCTCTAAGCCTAACCCTACCCCTAACCCAAACTCTAACCTTACGCCAAACCCTACCCCTACCCCTAACCCAAGCTCTAAGCCTAACCCTACCCCTAACCCAAACTCTAACCTTACGCCAAACCCTACCCCTACCCCAAGCTCTAAGCCTAACCCTACCCCTAACCCAACCCAAACTCTAACCTTACGCCAAACCCTACCCCTAACCCATACTCTAAGCCTAACCCTACCCCTAACCCAACCCAAACCCTAACCCAAACCTTACGCCAAACCCTACCCCTACCCCTAACCCAAGCTCTAAGCCTAACCCTACCCCTAACCCAACCCCTAACCTTACACCAAACCCTACCCCTAACCCAAGCTCTAAGCCTAACCCTACCCCTACCCCTAACCCAAGCTCTAAGCCTAACCCTAGGATGACAGGTAACTATATCATTTGTTTTGTTCCCTCTTTACCACTCCGTATTTGCACTGCAGCCAAGGGAGTGAACTCCGACTAAGCGACCGTCGCCTTCCAGCTAGCGACCGTTATTTAAAGGAAAGCCAAAAAGTCTTTAATCTAATAACAAGTTACAAGTTGTTAGTATCCAGAAGGCTTAATAATTCAAATTGGCTTAAAAAATAGTTGATATTAATTCGTTTTTAAAGTTACTACTTGTACTGGCAAAGTTAAATTACTAAAACAAGAAAAAGAGCCAGCATCTCATTTCTTTACTGTTTTAATACTGACAACAATAAAACAACGCAGAATAAAAGTCATTATAACACTCGACATATGCCCCGTACCATCTTCTGCTCGATTGCTCGTCAAATTGTTTGACAAAGGGCACATACTCTCAACTATAGAGCAGACAGCAACCGTGGTTTCCGGGATAGAGCTAAATTCCAAAACATAGAGCAAACAATGATAACAACCTCTTGAAGTGTAGAGTCGAGGGTACATGGGGAAAGCTCCAAATGAACTACCAGGGGCGCGGGAGCGTAAAGGAGGGGGGGGGGGGGTGCCTAGTCCCTAGAGGACTAGAGGTTTTTTTTTTTAGATGAGAAGGAGGGAAGAACTTCCCAAACTTATAAGGCGGGTAAGTGTCCATGACCTAAACATGTATCGAAATGATGTTAGTATATGTTTATACATTTCATAGCTTAATTAAATATAGTATGTTATTTATCTTCATTCATTTTATTACTACTACTGCGTTAAAAAAAAAGTCTCAGACTCCTTAATCGGCTGAGTTTGAGCCCATCACCCTCTGCAGATAATTTTTAGGGGTGTTTGGGGTATTAGGCCCTCCCCCACCCCACATCACGCTTTGTCGATCGGTACCAGATGGGTGCTGATGTCGATATCACGCCTGTCGCCTTTACTCCGAGCAACATTTCCTGTTACCCATTACAGGCAGGTTCGAAAAGCGTGATACTGTACAAGGATGCAAAGTTATGATTTTGTGTTCAGATCGTCATGCCACTTTTGGTAGATCAGCTCTGGCCAATACGTGAAACCTTTCAGTAACACAAAGTTGCTTCTTTGACATATTATATCTCAAAGATAAGAGCCTAAAATCAATCAATATTTAGGTCTGGTGGTCTACGTGGTGAAGTGGTCAGGCCGTGTGCCTCGTGCTCTGAAGGTCGCTGGTTCAATTACTGGCTGTGCCGTTCGGTTCACGAGTGGAATTTTTACGGAGACCCCTGTGGGTTGTCGCCCTAGGTAAAGAACTCGTTCTTTATGCGACTCTCTCGACAGGCGGCTAGCCGTTCTGCATGGGGAAATCAAGCCATATAGGTTGAAAGTCTAGTGTGATGAAGTCAATCCTCTTTAGTTTAACGACTTCAACTTTTAATACTTAGATTTTACGGTGTTAAACAGAGATACGGTGGAGCCGAAGTATTTATTAACTAAGAATACAGACGCAAAGTGTCCAACTTAAATCTGTCTGTGATATAAAACATCAATAAAATCAGCGTAGCTTTGGAAATACCAGGAAACGTATTGTGCGTTCCTATGGCACGACAAGAGTTAAAAAAACAAAAAGGCCAAAATATGCAGGTCCTCAGAAAAAATACATCACAAGTACATGTCGGAATGGTACGCCCTCAAGCCATCGGAAAGCTGCAGTTATTGCCTCACCTCCATTCCCATACTGGACGTAGTGATACTATACAAGAGACTATTTTCAGTGTTCAATCACCTTTTCAATAAAACGCCATCCCCTCTTCTTACCTCTCACTGAAGAGACATGATTGCTTTCCCAAAATCTCCCCCAGGATGACGTCACAGGACAGTCCAATATTTTCGAGGTTGGTAAGAGCGGGTTTCCTGGCTTTCTTATGCTTTTAACTACACCAAAACACCTAGAACTGGGCCTAACCTGATGCTTTTAACTACCTCAAAACATCTAGAACTGTTCCTAACCCCAACGTCCTTCGAGAGAGTGCAGCCTAAGACCCATGACTGCATGTAGCCTATCTACAACCCCCAAAATATTCGACTCTCTTTTTGGGGGGAGATATTGGGATAGAACCGAGACATGTTGTAACGGGCTCTCATAGCGTGTTTCGGAAACTAGAAACTAGCGTCCTACGCGTAGAGTGGCTTGCATCACTTAATAAGACACCGACCAGAAGCGACTCTTGGATTTTGTGTACAGGATATTCGGGTGTGCGCGGTAATGAGCAGTCTGACAGATTGGCTGCTGCCGCTCTTCTGTGGCGAAAGCTCTTTAGGACTATATAGACAGGGCAATAGAACAGAGAATCCATACACTGGAAGACTAATTCAACAGGGGTGAATAGTGGTTCTGGAAGATATTCAGCTCTGAGTGGCTGACTTTAAATCACATTGCAACTGGTACTGTTAGCGTATCGACTCTTCGGTGGCTCCCGAGAAAGGAGACGGATAACTCATGGGAATCTCCCGAGTGCACTGATGTTAATTCCTGATTCATTCACTCATTTATTCATTCACTCATTTATTCATTCACTCATTTATTAATACTCCCATTCATTCAGAAAATATTAAAACTCCCACCACTATGAATGAGAAACATCAAGCAGGTGTCATAAAGGCCTGCTTCTAAATGTATTCGCCATAAGCAAAGTTCTAATCATACGACATAATCGCCGGACATCAATTAGTCATGGAATAAAATGCTACAGTGAGCCTGCAATAGCATAATATGTGGAATCAATAACGTGTGGCGTCCGCATTGTTAAGCTCATGGACAAGTTATGGGAAGCTCTATAGTATGGTCTACTCTTTGTCGAGTGCAACATGGCAATGTCTACTCGGGCAAGAGACAGACAGCGACAGAAGTGGTAGGACAACATCAAGAAATGCAAGATCAGCACAGCCTGAGAGAGTGTGCCTCCAGGGCGAAAGACTGAGAATGGCAGAGCTCCATTACAGCCAATCATCGTTGTGCACTGATTGATCTAC